ACAATGAGTCATTTGTAGGGAAATGCACCTTGAGTCCATAATGTTAAGTAAAATACAGGGGACTTTCAAGTTACAGCCAGCTTCACAAGTGAACAACTTGGGTTACAACCAGCCAAACAAATTTTAGGTTTAACTTGCAACCAGGCTTGAGTTACAACCAAAATGTTGGCCACTAATGCAGTTGTAAACAAAGACTTGCAGTGCCAGAAAAGTGTATGTAAGCATACATTTCAGCATTAGTCTGATCCCAGATGTGCATGTTTGTGGACATGATTTCAGTCAGTGCTTTACGTAATTGCTGTAATTACTGCTATCAAGATGGCCCCCAAAAGTTAGAAAAGAAGCAAAGGAAGAAAGGGAAGGTAAAGAAAGTAATCACAGTGGAAAAGAAGAGGAAGTTGTGGATAAATATGAGAGTGGTGCTTTGTGACCAATCTCACTAATATGTGCAGCATGTTGAAATCCACCATCTCAACAGTGTTACAGAGAAAACATTTGTGTATGAAAGCTAGTGTTTGTAAAAGTGCTACTCAAATTAATAAGTCATGATCAACAGTGTTAGACAAGGTAGAAAGGCTGTCAGTGTGGACAAATGAAAGGCAGATGGCAGGTGATAGCCTATCTGAATCTATAATCTGTGAAAAAGCTAGGGCTATCAATGCAGATCTTCTAAAGGATAATCCATCAATGAGTGACAATGGTGAGACATTTCATGACAGTAAGGGGTGGTTTCACAATTTTCAAGTGAGGCCTGGGGTTCGTAGTGTAACTATTACACATGGTGAAGAAGCCAGTGCTGACAAAAGAGCTGCTAAAAATTGCATACCCCACTTTGAAACAGTGACACAGAGAAATGGCTTTTGCTCTCATCAAGCTTTCAACTGTGATGAAACTGGCCTTTTCCGGAAGAAAATGCCCAGAGAACATGTATTACCCAGGAAGAGAAGAAAATGCCTGGTCACAAGCTTGTGAAGGATAGGCTAACCTTATTGCTATGTGCCAATGTGAGTATTGACCTCAAGGTAAAGCTGCTCTTGGTTCATCACTCCGAGATCCCTAATGTATACAGAAAACAAAATCATGAGGAATAGACTAGGAGTCATGTGGAAATTTAATGCAAAATGCTTGGTAACAAGAGTACTTTCTCTTGAGTGGATCAGGGAGGCTTGCTCTCCTACTGTTAAGAAATATCTAGAGAACAAAGGTTTACCACTTAAGGCTCTCTTTGTCATGGACAGTGCTTCTGCTCACTCATGAGAGTTGGAAGAATTGGCTGAAGAATTCCCATGGCTTTCAGTTGAATTCTTCCCACCTCATCCAACTCCTCTGCTGCAGCCTATGGACCAGCAAGTTATAGCTAACTTTAAGAAGCTGTACACCAAGGAAGTGTTCCTGAAGTGATTCCAGATGGTCCCAGATACAGAGATACAGATTTAATCCTTAAAGAGTTTTGGAAGGAACATTACAGCATCCTTTTCTCCACAGGGTTAATTGAGAAATTCTGGGCCAATGTGTCTCTAAGGACACTGAGATCTGCCTGGAAGAAAGTGTGGCCTAGAATTATATGAGAGAGACTTTGAAGGCTTTGTAGAGAGGCTGAGCCTTCAATTGACCCTGTGGTTGATGACACTGCCACTATAGCAGAGTCCATAGTGTTGCAGGTAGACAGTGGTGATGGTGAGGAACTGGCAGAGGAACACTCAGAGGAATTGTCTACAGGGGAACTTCAGCAGCTTCTGACTGAGCAACAGAGAGTGGCAGCCAAGGAGCTTGCTGAAGGGGAAAGGGAGTATCAACAATCAGTGCAGCAAAGTTTTCTTCTGAAATAAAGGAAATCCTGAAAAAAATGGACAGAGCTACAAACATTTGTAGAGAAGACCCACCCAGACAAAGAAAAAGCCAATTGTGGGGCTTAATAACAATGCCACGTCATACTACAGAACAGTGTTAAAGAAAAGACAAAAGCAGACAACCTTAGACCAGTTTTTCGTTCTAAAATAGTTGAGAACTAGTGAGCCAGAACCAGGTCCAAGAGAGCTACAGACTCTTCCAAGGAGGGAAAGGACACCAGAGAGCCAGATTCTTGATGTTCTTACGGAAGGGTATCATGGACTGATCAGGCCTGCAATCTCCCAAACAAGTGGATGGTGAAGGTTTAAATAAGAGACAAGTGGTATGATTTTAGGGCTCCACAAGGATCAAAACCCTCTAGCAGAGTTCAAGATTCTCTGGAGGCTGAGACGAAGAACTTCTCCAGGTGGCTGGTATTTATTTGGTTTTCAAAAGAAGGGAATACTGAGAAAATCATGAGAAACTGAGCAGGACCTTGGGAGTCAGTACAAAGACTTCCCCAAGTAGTAAATGATATTAATTAGGAGAACTGTCTTACCTCCAGGTTGACATTCACTGCAGGAGTGAGACATCTACAGCTATAGTTTCTAGCTAGTTAATTTGGGTTGGAGCCAGCATCCTCAGCTGTGGCATTATCTTGTACTTTGAGGTGTCACAACATCACAGGCTACTACAGGACTCAGCTGAGACCTGTGCTTCATAGAGGTTCACTTACTGTGAATCTACTCCCCATCTCCAGACAAGGGGCCCAGGCCTGGGACAGACTCACAGGTAAACATAGCCAATTAATTAATTTTAAATCCTGCTCACAGTTGCTTCATAGTGGTCTCCATCAGAAGGGGACTCTCCTTTCAAACAATAATCACCTTCCATTTTATCCTCCCTCCCTGCAAACCAAAGATGTCTATTTTAATGGTGAGTACAGAATGAAATTGTTGTTTCTGATAAACTAGGCACAATTTATAACATTTTGGTGAAAGCACTAGGCAAATGATTGGTATTTCTGGTGAATTATGCACATTATACAACCCCTTTCATTATGAAAATCTTAGATAAGAGAGGCAGGTTCAGAATGGATTATGGGTGTCTCCATTATTTTTTATGGGAAAAATATTCTTGATTTATAACCAAATTGAATTACAACTAGACATCACAAATGAATTGAGTTTGTAAGTCGTGTCCACTGTAAATGAGACAAATGGTTTTAAATATCACACTATTTTTCTAATATGAAAAACCTAAACTATTAACAAAGACCAAAACAAAAGATAGGTAAGAGGAAGTAGAAAGATAGATCTTTTCCAAATGAGAAAGGGACCAGGGAATGGGTGTGCAGGGAATACAGGGAAGGGAATGAAAAGAAAATTAAGATGTGTTATGTTTATGTACCAAGTTCCATGAGGAATATGATCATTGTGTACTGCAAACACATACTAATAAAAAATAAAAATGAGGGAAAAAGTTAAGTACTGATCTTCTAAAGCACCAGTCAGCTTTCTATCTGTATAAATCTGCCTATTCTAAACATTTCCTATGAGAGGGATCTTAGGACAAGTGGCCTATTGTGTTTGACTTCTTTCACTTAGCGTGTTTCCAAGGTCCATCCATACTGTAGCAAATATCAGAACTTTTTACTTTTATGGCCTAATAGCATACTGTTTTGCAAATATACTGCAGTTTGTCCATTGATTAGTTGACGAACATGTGGATTGTTGTTTCTGCTTTCGTCTGGTTACATAATGCTGTGATGAATGTTTCTGTACAAGTTTGTGAACATGTTTTCATTTGGGTAATACACTAGAGTGGAAGTGCTCTGTGTAACTTTTTGATGAGCTGCTAACCTGTTTTCCAAAATAACTACATCTTCTACCAGCAATGTGTGAAATTTCAATTTCTGCACACCTTGTCAACATTTTTTGTCTTTTTTTTAAGACAGCCATTCCAGGTGGTGTGAAATAGCATCTCATTTTAATTTGAATTTCTCCAGTCACTAATGATGTGGGTCATCTTTTCATGTGTATGTTGGCCATTTTTATGTCTTTGTGGAAATAGCTACTCAAACCTCTTACGCATTTCCTAATGAAATTTCTTTACTGTTTCATAACAGCCCCCTATTTGGCAGGGCCAGCACTCCTGTCTTGTCCCAAGTCTGCTCTTCCCAATTAATTTTTTATATTTTAATAGGTTGATCTCCCTGAAGTACAGGGCAAAGTGCCCAGCCTTCTTGATTTTTTAAAACACTGTCAGGTTCAGAATACTTTCACACCATGAACACATCAGTAAACCCTGAAATCTTAATAAGCTCTACTTTCCAATGTGTCTGCAGAGCAGGCAGAGACTCCGGACCATTGCACTAAGGGACACATGAGTTTTGAGACTTGAGAACTGAGACATGTTGCAAACCAAAGAGTCTGTATGTCCGTCCACATTAAGGGAGCTTCTTGTAGCACTTTGCCTTTTGCCTTCTGTACAGTAAGCTCTCTGTAACTAACTACTGGGTGACTGGGTGGATAGATGGATGCTTAGAATTTCAGATTTTTACATTGCCATTGCATTATACTGCCTGTGGTAGAGGGGGAGACTTTGCACCCCCAAAACTCCAGTTACTGGGATAAATCTTAGTTTGAAAAACTCAAGTTTAGTGATTTCTCATGGTGGCAAATAGCTGCTGTCTTAATAACTAAGGTTGTACATGTATTTTAGGGCGGGTACCAGAAAAGCCGTCCTCTCACTCCTCAGCAAGCATCATTAGTAGGTCACTGGTGAGCCATAGTTCATTGAATATACTCCAGTTTTTATAATAGAAGGAAAAAATAGCGTCCACAAAAGTTTGATATTTTTTTGCTCTGTTGTGTCTGTCATCTCACCTTTACAATCTACTCATGCACCAGTATTTACAACTAACATGTAAAAAGAAACACAGGTCGTGGGTTGGGATGTTTATTGGGCAGCCAGAGTGCACACAGGACATACACAAGTACCTGCCATCTGCTTTCTCGGGGTGCCCCGTGCATAGAAGCTGACAAAGAGCAGGATGCGTGTGACCAGGAATCTCGCTGCCTCTGTTCCTCTGAGCCTCTGCTAAGGTTCCAGTGGAGAGGGGAGCACAGGGCAGAACTACAGGGGTGATTGCCATGCTCTCTGGGGATCTAACTTCCCTGGGGTGGCCTGGCCACTGAGGGACCAGGCGACTGTCTCAGAAATCTCCTCCTTCTGAGGCCTTCTGCAGGGGTCGTGGCCTCTTCGCTGTTCTCCTCAGAGCTGGAGCCAACCGAAGAGGCTGAGCGCCCTCCCAGCACGCTGTCTTCGCACAGCTTCTGCTTGCCCTGGCACTCGTGTCCATCCAATGACTTCAGACTTCGGTTAAAGGAGGCAGAGGCTATGCACTCGGCCGCTGTCTGGTCACAGGCACAGAGCAGCTTCTCGCACAGGCTCTGCCCCACACCTTAGAGGAAAAGAGCAGAGTGGTGGATGTGAGACATCTTGGGAAACACACCGGACTTCCACCGTCACCTGCCTGCCTGCAGCCCTGCCTGACAGCCCTGTCTCCTTTTCCTCCACGTAGCAACTGGTGTACACCCGGCTGGTAGCAATGCAGCCCTTCCCTCGGGAAGGAGCCCTGTGCCAGGAATAATCTGTTTTCTCCTGGCGGACTCACCATCCTCTGCCTAGATTCAGCTACGGGTCTTCTCCCCTAGCAAGCTTCCCTGAGCCCCGGGCTAAAGAAAGCATCTTTCCTATGGGCTCCCATTGAGCACCGCCCCCTAGTGGCTCTTTCTCTCACAGCAGGTTACGAGTTAATCACACCGTACAGTAATTCTCTATTTCAGTTTTCGCCTCTCTTGCTCCACAAAGAACTTTGAAGGTGGATCTCACCTATCCAGGCACTCAACTTTATCCTCAGGTAGCATTTCCCACGGTCGCATTGGGCAATATTTGTTGGTGTGAACTACTACATCTTTGGACCAGCATTTCTGTGTTTGTCAAATGGAGTTTCTTGTCTACTCTGCCTTAATATTACCAGATGAAATACAGGATGGTCAATTAAACGTGAATGTCAGGTCATATATCTGAAAGGATGTCCCCTGAGAACAGACTTTCACTAAACAATTACCACTTTTTTATCTGAAATTCAGACTTACCTAGGCTTCATGTATTTTTGTTTGCTAGCTCGGGCAACACTTCCCTTTCTTTAATGCATAGATTGCATGTGGAGGGGGTAATGTGTTGAAGATGCCGGGCACAGATGTGCTTTCTGCAAACAGAGTCCTCTGTGTCTGTAGCTTTCACTGGAGCTAAAGGTATGTGTTTTTTTATCCAATCTTACTGTGAAGTGTTCATCATTTTTTCTGTTTCTACTACATAGATTTTATACACCCCCTGTACTGGTCTCCACATGGACCTCAGATATACTGGTTGCATTTTAGCAGCAGGAAACAGGAAGAGGAGAGGAGGGACACAGCTGGGGGCCAGGGCAGAGTGAGATGTACCAAGGCCTGGGCTCCAGAGTGACTGTCCTTCTCCCTGTACTTAAGATGGTGACAGCATACAATGGGCACTGAGGGGCCTTCAGTTCCCACCATCCAGAGCTGGTACCCAGGTACCAGCTCACCGCTCACAGAGGGCCTGGACTGGGGTGCTCTGTAGAAGTTCAACTGCTCTACAGCCTTTCCAGATCCTGAGCTACTGGAGGAGCAGTGAAGGAGCCTCCAGCCCCTAGGCGTGGCCTCAGTCTAAGCTGTCATTCATGGGGTCCTCTCCCCCATAGGAAAAATTGTAAATGTCTTCATTTTGTGCATGGGTCTTTGGAGCTTATGATCTGATGTCCATCTGTCCCCTGCGCCTCACCCTGCACCACAGCCAGGCCTTCATCCCTACTTCCTGCCCCAGCAGTACAGACCCAGTGTTGTTCCTAAATGTCATAGGAAGACATGGTGTTTCTCCTCCTTTGCTTGGATTTCCCCTTTGCTTTTCAACTCTTGTCCAATCTCACCACCCTGCCGCCTGCTCCACATTCTCTGGCCCTCAGCGGAATGCACACCTCAGGGGGTGAAGCCTGTCCCTCCCCCAGGCTGTGAGGGATCCAAGGCAGGGGTCATGCAGGTTTGTTATTTTCCTAGTCTGCAGTGAGGGTTTGCTGGGGAAGTGGATAGCTGGATGGATGAGTGAGTGACTTGTAAGCTCACAGTTCCCAGGATGCGCTGACCACAAAAGACAACACAAAGCAAGACAGCATAGAGAGAGAGAGCACAGGCAGGATGAGGAGAACAACAAGCCCAGCCAGTGGCTTCCCAACAAACTTGACGAGAAGAATAAGTCCTGAGAGGACTCCTGTGAGATTCCCCGGGAAGCATCTTTTGTTTAAATTGCAGAGTGTGCAGGAAATGCATCTGCTGTCATGTTCGAAGAAGGAAGTGCAGCTGAGTGCGGACAGCTCTAAAGGAGCTCTTGTGTGCTCACCACAGCGGAGGCAGTTTTCTGACTGTCCCTGGTGGAGGCCTTCAATGCTACAGAAGACCTTGATTTCCAGGGAGGAGTGGATCTAAGGGTCCACCTCTCCTTTTAACCAGAGCTGCCCCTCTTTTAATGGGGTTCTTTAGAAGTCTTCACTTGGGAAAGGGTCTACTTCTCAGGAACAGACAGGGGAAGGTGCAGAGCCAGCTGGAGATCTGATCACATTTCACAATCCAGACCCCACCTCTTCCCTCTTCTCTGCCTGTCATCTGGGGCCTCGCTTGTCTCTGTGAAGTGGGAGGAACACAAGTGCTACTTCCCATGTGGTTGCAGGTTGCTCCAGGGGCTTTTAACCAGCTCAGTGACTTAAAGCAACTGGCTCAGGCTTTGGAACTGGAGCCAGACTGTGGTGCTGGTGTTAGATGTGTCTCAGTGTTGGGAAGAGTGCGACGTCATGCCACAGATGAAGATGTGCTGGGAAGGCATCCAGAAGCCGAGCTTTGGCCAGATCCCACTTGCAGGAGGGCACCACTGACTGCCCAGGCAACAGCACTTACATTTGGGTGTGCGGTCCACACACAACACTGCAGACCGAGGACGCCTCTCCGGCAGGCAGCCCAGCCTTCTCACCTGCTCCAGGCAGCAGTGATGGGACAGACAGCACCTATGACCAAGAGAACCTTTTACTGCTCTCAGCTCCCTGCTGACCCAGGCCTGCTTCACTCACACTCCCTGGAGTAGTGGGAGAAACCAGTGCCTCCCACCTAGGGCACACAGGGCTGACCCATATACAGCCCAGCCTCGTTGTGTATGGTTGGTTGAGTTATGTACTGCACAAAGATGCCATATGTAAGGCAGTGTCCATCACACTGTATACAGCTTATTATTTCAAGTTTTTTTCTTGTATTTGCACATTTATTAAAGTAACAAATGGAGTCTTTAAGAAAAGGATACTTTCAGGAATGGAGTCATTTTTTTTTTCCCATCTTACGAGAAGGCTTGCTGCAAGCTAGCAGTGTCCCCACTCTATCCAACATTTCGCAAAATAGAGTAATTGATCTCGTATCTGTAGGGGACGCTCCTGGAGCCCTTGGCCTAAAATAGACCATAGTAGCTATAGATAAAGAACTCTAAATAAAGACTTAGTGCAGCATAGAGCCTCAGTGAATGTGGGAAGGGAATCACGTCTTGTTTGTAGATGCCCCTGCCTGACCCAACACAGCCTGCTATTTTCAGCGCCCCCCAGCTGGATAGACTTTAGGATAGGGGCTACTCCCAGGCTATAGGAGCTATCACTGCTCTCCTCATCTTCTCTTTCCAACTCTTCCTCGTCCTTTAATACCACTCATCACCCCCTAGAGACCCACACCTTTTTACTTTTTTTTTTTCAGGGCTCGTGATTGAACCCAGGGCCTTTCCACTGAGCTACATTCTTAGCCCTTTTAACTTATTTTCTACTTCTGAGACAGAGTCTCACTAAGTTGCCCAGGCTCGACTGGAACTTGCAATCTTTCTGCCTCAGTCTCCCAGAGTGCTTAGATTACAACTGTGTACCACCATGTTGGACTCTTTTGCAGCTTTTAACAACCTTTGTTTTTGTTCAGCTAGGTATCATTTATACCGACCTAGTTGCCTGCAGTTGGAGGAACCACCCACCTCGCAAGTTCGCATAGCCCAGTGGCAAAGGTCAGGGCCTGGCGCATCAGACTGCTGCCATAAAAGAATCACAGGATCCTATGCAAGCATTTTCCAAGGGTGGGGATGGAGGGGGGCACTTCACATAACAGTTATACCCCAAAGTCAGCAAGTCAGAGAGGATGGATATTCTCTCAGTAATCGCTGACATGGTCCCTCACATACTGCATACTGCAGATGGGAACACAGCCTTTGAGACATAAAACCGGTGTGGCTAACCCTGCCGGCAAGGGCTTCTCCTATGGCTGTCAGTTTTCTAGTTTCCTCTGATGGCTGCCAGGAAGCCATAGTGTCCTTTCCTTGCCTGGCTGGTCACGTTTCCTATTTTTGTGAAATATGATCAGTGTTTACCTTCAGCATCATCCCTACTTCCTCTCAGAGGCTACAGGGTGCCAGGTTCCTATCTCACTGGGCTATGGACTCAGGAAACTTAACACTGTCAGCACAAAATTTGCTACAACAAAACTTCCTTTAACTATTTTTTGTTAATAGTGGGGACTAAACCCAAGGCCTTCACACTGAGCTTCTTCCTCAGGCCCCCCATTTTTCTATTTTTAATTTTTATTTTGAGACTGTGTCTCATTAAACTGATAGGTTGCCCAGGCTGGATGTGAATTCATCATCCTCCTGCCTCAGCTTCCCATAGTGCTGGGATTACAGGCATGCGCTACCAGGCCTACCTTTTATGCTGCTTTAGCCCCCAGTTTCCTGCCCTGGAAGGCCACATAGGTTGGCTGATAGGTCAGCCTGACAGTGAATGTAGGGGAAAGCACCAAGGCGGAGTTGTGTGGTTGGTGGTACATAATCCAGTAATCCACCCTCAGACACTCCTTGATCTATAGCGGTCCACCTTCCCCACATTCCTGCCATTACATCCTTTACCTAATTACAATCAGCTTTGTCTTTCTCTTTTGTCAACTTCACCCACGATTGTGGATTTTGCTGTGACAACCACACCACCCCAAAGGGCACACACCCAGCCCTTTGAATGCAGATCTTTTCCCACCTTTAAAGTTACCACCTACTTTCTGATTATTCCTCAAACTTGGGGGGAGACTCCATAGTTTCCTCTGTATCTTCTATCACATTTATTGTACTGTGCAGTATTTTGGTCAACTTGTCCACCTTGTTCACCACATTCAAAGCTTCTGTTGGGCTCAAGCACTCATTTGTTATTTGTTTTTTCTGCCTTATTTTGTACCTCCAGTGCCTAGCACAATGCCTGGCATGGAGCAGACCACAGAACATCCAGGTTGAATGCATTTATGAAGGAACAAGTTAATGAGTATATGCAGCTGGTGAAAATTCATCCAAGAGTGGTAGATACAAAATTTAGAAGTTTTACATAAAACTTGTTGAGAAGCTGATTTCCATGTGGCCTGCTGCAGGGCAAACCAAAGGGAAATCCAAATTCTACGTGTTGGTTACTATAAAACGGGTCAATCTGGGGTGTTGTGAAGTGTCTTTTCCCCTCAGCTCTCATGGGGGAGTAGCATCTGTGGTTTTGCTTTATGGCCTCTAGCCTCCCAAATCAAGAGGTCAAGGTCAGCGTGGTTTGACCCTGTCCTAGATGAATGACCTCAGATACATCAGAGTGAGCCTCAGTTGCTCATCAGGAAAACACACGTATCATGCCATCAAGCCACTCCGCAAGAGAAGGGATGCTCACAGCAAGTTCTCTGAACCTGAAGCCAAGTCCAGTGGAGACAAGAGCTCTGCAGGTGCAGGCAGGATGGGCACCACGCAGCCATACCTGTCCAGGTTGTCCTTTGGCTCGCCTCTTCCTTCTCGCCCGCAGTAACAGCCATAATATTCAAACTCCTCCGGACACCAGGATGTCAGACAGAAGAGCATCTCTCCAAGCTGCACCATCACCTGTATGTCGTCCTCACTTCCCACGTGCAAAAAGGTGAATCTATCACAGGCTGATTAGGGACAAGGACTCTCAGGGGAGGAAGGAAGTTCAGGGTAGCACTACAGTTTGCACAAGGACAACTCTGGGTGGTCCCAGGAAACTCGGTGTCCCACACCTCAGATTGCCATTCCCCGTAGATAAGTGGACTCTTTAGGAGGCACTGTCTTAGAGAGAAAGCCTTTTCCTGCCCAACGTCCTGTTCTCCACAAGACTCCTGATGAAATCTCCCTAAAAGATGGGGTCTCCCAGGAGCAGAGGTGCTCTCCAGGCCACGCTATAATACCAGGTCCAGCCTCGCTTCCTGGGGGAAGTCTTGTCCTCTTAGGCATTCAAGCCACATCAGATTAGCACACTTGGTGCGCTGCACTCCAGAACCCTGTTTTTTTTGTTCTCCATCTCTGGCTTCTCTGTGTGTGAGTCTGTCTGTCTGTTCTTCTCCTGCTCTCCCTCCTCTGTTACAGCTGTCAAGCCCAGCTGTCTCCAGAGCTCTGTGCTAGATGCTAGGGTGGGCTTGCCTAGCTATTAGCGAAGCCCTCCTCTGTGTCCAGCTGCCTGTCACTCTTTCAGGAGGAGCAGGGCCTTTGGTCAGCATCAGAGGGAGGAGAAGACATGGGGGAGGACAGTTAGAACCCACGCATTTCCTTCTTTTCCCCAAACAATGGTATGCATGGTGCCAAACTTCTTCCTTCCGGGTCAATAGAGCACAGCAGTAAGAGTACCAGGTCAGGGGTCAAAAGATCAGAGCTCCTGTTCCAGGTTTAGCTCACAGAAGTACCATGGCAACAGACAAAGCATGTCCCCTTGAGCCTCATGGTGCTTATTCAGTAAGGGAGAGGAGGCATCTGTCACACCAGAGAGAAGGTCACAATCAGATAAGGTAGCTGAAGGTGCTTTGTGAAAGACCAAAGCACGGGATCCCAGGGGCAGAGAGGGCAGAACGTCCCCTGGTTTCTGACTTCTTCTTACCTTTGCCAGTTGTTTGCCCAGGACTGCTCTCCATGGATGGCACCGCCAACCCTGAAGAGCTATTGCCATCAGGGACAAGGGTGACAGCCTTAGCTGTGGCAACAATCTCTGCAGACCCTGCAAATGCACACCTTGCTGTATCAGATTCAAAAGGGGCTCGAAAAGAGATTTGCTGATGGACACATGGTCAAGGCCAGATACAGGTACATCCATCAGAACATGAAAGCAGTAGGAGAGTGTTCCTCAAACGCAGCTTGCAGATGTCAAGGCAGGTTCCCGGTGTCCATAAACTCTACAACAGCATTCCCAGCTTTACTGTGACTGTCTCAACATGGACAGGAGCAGTGACCTTTAATTGTGATTGTCAACTTGACTATTAAGAAATTCCTAGCGGGGGCTGGGGATTTAGCTCAGCCGCAAAGCGCCTGCCTGGCAAGTGCAAGGTCGTGAGTTCGGTTCCCGGTACCGGAGAAAAACCAAAAAAAAAAAAAAAAAAGAAATTCCTAGCAGTTAGGTAAAGCACCCTTCTGGGTGTGTCTGTGGGGCATTTTCCAAGATGACTGGCATGAAGGCCAGCAAGCTGAGGAGGGAGACCTTGACTGTGGGTGGCGTTGGCCAACAGGCTTAAAGCCCATACAGAATGAAAGAAAGAAAAGGGAAGAGCTAGGGACAAGAATACACCCTTCCAGGTCACACCCCTAGTGACCCGCCTCCTCAGCCACCTCTTAACAGTACATTCAACCATGAATTCTTAAGTGATGCAGTCCCTTTCCAAGTGCCCCATCTCTGAGCACATGAGGCTTTTGGGCACATTTTACACATAGACCATAACAGGAGTCTACTTGAGACCACCTGGAAGGCAGCTCATGCCTGGAACGTGTGACAGGTGCCCAAGCCTGTGTTTCTGCCACGTTTGCAATTGTGTAGCTGCTAGGTGACTGCACCAGTGGTGGTGAACCTATGGCTCACGTGTCTCAGTAGGTATACAGAGCCCTCTCTGTTGGCATGAGAGACAAATGCGTAAGTTTTTTTTCCTAAACTAAAACTTCAGTATTCGGATTTAATTGCAGTATTGACACTGCAATTAATAAGTGGATTTGGGTTGCCATTTGGGCACTTGGTCTCTAAAAGGTCTGCCATCACTGGACTATGCTCATAGCAAGCGAATAGGCAAAGCAGATAGTAGAGAGAGTGAGCCACCTCACAAGACACAATTTTGTAGACAAGTGAAACTCTTCCTCGATCCCTCTGTTTCCTGACTAAGTGCTCAACAGCTTCTCAGTCTATTCAGAATAAAGTGCAGTGCTTCCTGTGACCTGCAAGACTGTTCAATTTTATCCTTTGTCTAATAGTCCATTCTAAACATCTAACATAATGAATTAATCATAAGAGGATGGGCTTAAATAAAGTACATACCTATTATACATAATAACAAAATGCTGTGGGAGGCTGTGGTAGGAGGATCACAAGTAAGCCCTGGGGAATCTTAGTAACTTACTGAGAACTTGTCTCAAAATAAAAAATAAAAGGAAATGCAAGGTCATGAGTTTGATCCTCGGTACCGGAAAAAAAATAAATAAATAAAATAAAAGAACTGGGGATGCAGCTCAGTGTGAAGGCCCCAGGTTCAATCTTTGGTGCCACAATAAAATAAATAATAATAAATACTTGGTTAAATAAGTTATGTTTGCACATAAAGAATCATTAGACAGCTACTACCACTCATGTTGCGTAAAACTATTTAATGTCAAGGGAAGAACATTATGTTGTATTACTAATACAACTCTGACTGAAAATCACAACCACCAAGTGAACTCAAGTTCATCTTATTTCTGTTCCTAGACATGCTTTGGGAGGAGGAGGCTGGAAAAATTTCGAATGTTAAAAGTGTCAGTCTTTATATTGGGGAATTACAAGTGATTCAAATGGGAAACTAAATATAGTTTTCTGGGTTTTTCTAAATGCATCTCTTCACAAGGTAATTTTCCATTTCTTTCTGCTAATTGACCTTTTGAGTTCATTTGTTTCATTGTTATGGATGGGGATGTAAAGGTAAACTGGCTTCAGTGATTTCTTCCATTTGGATGTTAGCCCCAGGGTTCACTTGCGATGTATTGATTTTATAGCTGTATCAGGCACAGTGACACAGAGGAAGAACCCAAATGACTACCTGGCGCAGGTGTGGCCTTAGCAGCTTCCATGCCTTCCAGATCCTGCCTAGGTTCTGAAAGAGAGGAAGAAAGGTAGGGTAAGAGCCACCTCCAGCTTAATATTCACAGAAGAGGGGCAGGGGCCCATGAGCTTCCTGCTGTCCTGGTCCACCTCCCACTGTGACATTTCCTAGGACAGCGATGATATCAGAGGTTTTGCAGAGCAGAGGGAAGCCCGAACACATAGGCTCACTGTCAGAGGAAGCAGTCACTTGTTCAAGGTCACAGAGCTAGAAAGCAGCAGGAGGCTAAGCCAGACCAGCTGGCTGAAGGTGAGCTAGTCTACTTCTGGCTATGCCACAAAGAGCAAGAGACGGTGACCAAAAAAACTCTGTGGAAAGGGAGAAGCTGCCTGCAGTTGAATGTGTTCAGGAATCAAGACATTTTACGAAGATCAAGTTCACTGATGTGGATAAAAATACCCCACCACAAATACCCTCCAGAGAGAGGATCTGGACCATCCTAAAAGGGGACAGGTTATTCTTTTCAAAAGCAAAACCTAGTTAGTATAATCTCAGTACTCTGGGAAGCTGAGGCAGGAGAATCAAAAGTTCAAACCCAACCCGGGGAAGAGTAAGTTTTAATAAATTGAAAAGGGGTGGAAGAAGTAGCTCGGTAAGAAGGCCCAGGGTTCAATTCCTAGTACTGCCAGAAAAAAGAAAACCTATGCACTCAGAACCAAGACTCCTAACTAAGCTAAGCCACGTGTGCAAATGACACTGTCCCTTATCTGTAAGGTGGGTGTAATGATGGGCCTCCCAGGGCCAGCAACGACGTACTCAGAGCAGACACATGAGGCTTGTGTTGGAAGCCATCAACATCAAAGAATCCATTTACTTATTCTGAGGAAGTTATTGTCAGTTACATATATTTTAAATAAATGATCTATGATTAAAATCACCTCAGGCAAAGGAAATGGTTAGGTTAATTCTGCTGGTGAAATTCAACATAGATACTTTTCAGTAAGACTGTGTGCTCCCTAACCCACTCTTGGGTCATGGGGAAAAAAAATCTTACAGCCTGAAGTCCGAGGCCAAGGGTCAGGCTCCCAAACTACTTGCTGAATGACTTTCAACTTTAAGCCCACTGACCCTTGTTGACCTACATATTCTGTAAAATGGGTATAATCATATTTCTTCCAGCCCCTATTGAGAAGAGGTCACCAGAACTGGACACCACACCATTGGCTCCCACACCACCCTCTCCTGAGGTTTCCTTCTGCTTACCTGTCCTTGCAAGACTGGTCGGTCTCTCAGCAGCCACTGTGAAAAGAAACCACCCAGCTTTGTTTATGGATCCGGCTGGGTGTCCAAGCCAGGCAGAGGTCATCTGCAGGAGAAATGGGTCTAGGGGGTAAGGACCAGGAGGGAAATGCCATGGAAACCCAGCCAGGGCATCTGGCTGCTTGCTGGTGCTCAAGCAGGACCCAAGTTGCTGCACAAGGGCCAGCCCAGGGCCAGGCTCGAGTGTTGGCAGAGAGAACAGCAGGCGGCACCTTTGGGAGTGGAGTGAGAAAGGCTGTCTGGAAAGGCAGCCGTGGAGGGAGTGTGGTCCAGAAGTAAGGACAGAAGCACAGGCATCTCGGTTAAGCCTCGCTGTTCAGCTGTATGTGTCAGACCATCTCTTTGTGCATCTCAGTTTACTTTCCTAAAATGCAGATTGTGGCACTTTTTTCATTGGATCATATCAGCATTAAATGAGATTCTGTATCTTCAGCTAGTGGTCCAGCATTCATTGTGTGGTATGCTCCGTTTTGTACAGCTACACTAGAATTCCTGGAAGATGCTGGTCCAGAATCTCTCCTGTCACTTTCATTTTTTCCTCATGCCACACTGAGAGAGAGCCACAGTCATGCCTTTTCAAGGGCTGGTAAACCATGACCCAGCCCTCCGCCTGTTTTTGTAAATAGTTTTACTGTGTGCAGCACAGCTCCAGCCATTCATGTACAAATCATCTAAGATTGCTTTCATGCTTAAACAGCAGAGTTAAATAGTGGCAGAAATTCCACGGCACACAAAGCTCAAGATGCTCAGTCTCCGGCCCTTTCAAGAAGGCTGCTGATCCCTGCCCTCCATGAATGATGAAACCAGAGCTTTGAGAGGTTAAAACACTTTTCCAAAGTCACATAGCTGAAAAGGTTCTGTCTCAGATCTGATTCTATTCTCAAACCTAATTGTGTCATCACATGATGGTGAGGACAGTGACAAGCCCTGTTTCTTTGTTTCTTCCCCTCACAAACTCTCCCATCTGCACTAGCGTGATTCATTTTGAGACTGTGATCAGATGACCTCTTTGGAGGACATTTGTGCAAACTGGCCAGGTCATGGGTGTGAGCACGTGTGTGCTGTAGGATGAACATGCATGTGTACCCACTGTCTTCCTGCAGTTAGATCTTAGAATCCCTGAGGAGCCCCAGTGCATTTGCATCTTTCCCAGAGATCAATGCCACATTTCTTTATGCCTCAAGGGGATCATAGTTAAGGCTGAACTACTCAGACGTGGACCAATGTACCGACTTGGCAAAAGTTTGTGATTGTTCAATGTGGCCATGATCCTGTGTTTGGAGCTGAGGGTTTGTCCCAAAAAGAATGGAGATTGCTGCTGTCAGTCATGCTGGGCATTGTCATGGCTTGGGCTGGAAATACAGTGGGTGCAGGTAAAATTTCTTTTTTTCTCTGGGCCTGGACCCCAAGGCCTGGGCTATGTGGGAAGTGCTAAGGATAAGATCCCCTTGGCCACTTAGGGCCAGCCAAGCATGAGGTAGATCATGAGCTTTGCTTCTGTCCTCCTGGTACAGAACAATAGCAACAGAGGACAGAAGTATTGACTCCAGGAAGCAAAAGGCAGATGGCCTCTAAAGGGTAGCTGGCTGGATTTAGCAATTAAAAATACAGCATACCTATCTCAACCGGGATTTCAGATGACCATTTCAATATTGCATGTTGTGTGTCCTTATGTCACACTTGGAATATACTGATACTAGGAAAAGCATTTGCTGTTCATCTCAGCTCAAGTCCAGCTGAGTAGGCACTTTGCATGCTGTCTGTGGTTCCACAGGGTGGGAATCAGAGTAGAAGAGAGGCTGAGGAAGTAGGGGAGAGACACAGCAGCCATGAAGAACCTCAGGAGGGGCTTTGGAGTACACTTGAGTATGTTCCATAATAAAGCAGGTAGGGGACATTGTAGGGGATCTGCTGCCAACAAGCAAGGCACGGGCACAAATGAGAGAGGGATGCTGGGTGACAGCCAGCCCTCTTCTGCTCACCTTCTCCTGAGTGCGCTGTCAGGCTGGTGTCCGTGGCTTCTGCAGGAACCACTGGGAAAAGATACCCTCAAATAGAAATGGCCAATGCAGCAAGTGTCAAAGCCAAGCCCAGAGTCTCCAAGGAGAACAGGATGGGGACACCTGGACCATGGCAGAGGAGGGCTGAGAAAGGTTCCACCAGGAAAGGGCTGTCCCTTCTGTCTGAGGAGTCCCTCGATCTCTTATACCTCCTGGGCATGGGCAGCCATCAAGGCCATAGCTCTAGAGAAACCATAGCCACTGCCAGGCTTTAGGGAAGAAGAAGGGCTCTACCAGACATGGCTTAAGATGGTGGAAAGGCTGCAACCCCCAGGGGATTGCAATCCTAAAACAGCCCTGTTCATGTAGGAGGGAAGATGGCAGACTGGATCCAGAAGGCACACAGACACAACATATATGCACACACCTCACAGACACATTCATAGACCCTCGCAATGCACCATCATCTGCTCATGCACACACCCACGCATGCCCATACACACTGCACAATGTGTACACATTCACGTGCACATGTACGTACACACTGAAATGTACATGCATATACACACAGACACACTCATGCCAGCTTGCTTTTTAACAAACACAGCACAGTTAGTTCTGAGAGACAGGGCCCTGCCTAGGGAGAGGAGAGGTGCTCTGCCAAGCAGTGTCATGGATGTCCCAGCCCCAGGGGCCCAAAGGTGTTGGATCTGAGAGATCATGGAGACTCTGGTGGACAAGGAGTGGTAGGTGCAAACTGTATCCTGTGTTTTCCTTAAAAGCCATGTTTGAAAGTAAGAACCATCTTTTGCTTAGTTCAGAGTACAGTTACTAAGAATCCACCCTATCCTGAGAAGACACACAGGGAAATTATCCTCCCCTTTATCAGCCCTGTCAGAGCCAGGCTGCCCCTTCTGCTATGGGTTTTGGGGAGCATGTGAAGCAAGTAGGGGATGACAGGATAGGTCTGCTCCTGGTAGGTCACTGCAACCAGGAGTGTACCCAGCGTGACAAGGTCCTGTCCTCATCACGTGCATATTAGAGCTCTGACTGCAGAGTGAGGAGGGGGAGAGAAAGAACTTGGGGTGCACGTCCTCTTTGGATTAAGTTTACACCTTGACCCAGTGCATGGCCATGTCTACCTGTGGAGACTACCATTGTCCAGTACTGAGGGACCAAGTCTATGCTAGAGCCATTGGAGTTGAGGTGTTTTGCTTGGGCTTATCTGAAACAGTATCACTCAGGTCTCCCGGCAAGAGAAGTAGGGATGGGCTTGTGCCACAGGTTGTTTCAATCTTGGCCAGGCAGGCTTGGCAGAAGACATGGTTCTACCTGCTCTCATCACCATCGGCCCCTGGGGTTCCTGTAGGAGCCCTCTCTCCTGGGAACCTTACCTCCAGGCAGCAGTGTTGCCAGCCCTTTCTGGCTGGTTGTCTCTGAAAAGAAAACACGTTGGAAAGTTTGTTTGGAGTACGGAGTTTGGAAGTGTGTGAAGGTGTGGAAGTTGCCATCTGCAGATACCCAGCAATGGTTGGTTCCACACCAGCTCCTGCCCAGGTCATCAGTTCCCCACTGGGTGCAGATCCCATTCTTCCTACCTGGAGTCTGAAGGCAGAGGGAGGGATCCAGAAGATTGAGGGAGAAGTTGATGCTGGACTGAGCCAAGCACTCTATGGCAACCTTGTCACAAGTGCACAGCAGGTGCTCACACGGGTCTGTGGACTCTGCATGAGCAAAGACAAAGCACGGTGAGAAGATTCCCGTAAATCCCAAGAGATAATGCGAGTCCCTGAATGACACCCTGCTCTGCCTCATCACACTGATGCCACTGCCGTCTCCTCAGTTGGGCTGGTTATCCTGGGGACCACACCCACACCTGCTGTCCACACTCACACCCAGGCCACCTGGCACTCTATGAGCTCTGCTTCCAACAGACTGACAATCTGACCGCGTCTCCACCTCTGTACTCCACCATCAGTTCCTGCCTGATTGTGTCAGTAGCCTCCTAATTCCTCTCCTGCCTCCTTCCCTGTATCCAGTCCATTCTCATTCTGGAGCCAGAAGCATGCTTTCATACTCAGGTCAAGGGCTGGGATGTGGCTCCGTGGTACAGTGCTTGCCTAGTCTGCCCAAGGCCTGGGGTTCAATTCCCAGTATAGCACCTAAACAAACAAATGAAAACTCAGATCAAAGCATGTGGTTATCTACTCAGAAGCCTCCCATTGACTTATCCTTCGTGTTTCAAAGGAACCCCCATCGCAGTCCACTTGTGCCTTTCCCTGAATTAATTTCCTCTATAGCTCTTGTCACCATCTAATATGCTGTGTCACCTGTCTTTGATGAGTGTCTGGCTATTGTGAGGACAGTCCGAAAGGTCACAAGGCCCCCTGCTCAGAGAGGTGGTCCCGCGCTGGTGTAGACGCTCAACACATATCTGGGAAGTGGGTGAATGGATTTTGTTTTCTGCACTCCCTGGGCACCTTTTCTAGTGGCTCACACCTGGGCTTTCCTCCACCTTCTCCTGATGTTCTGTGCTCCAGCCTGTCCTTGTGACCTGGACTTGGGAGTCAATCAGATCTGGGTTCAAACCTTGGTTCTGTGACTCAGCTGTGTGAACTTGGGCAAGTTGCTTAATTGCTCTTCACTTTTCTCTCCTTGTGTGAAAACTGCAGGTGATGATCCCCTCTGATAGTGTTGTCAGGAAGATCAGAGTGGTGTGTAGAGACCATGGGATGTGATAGGCAGGTATTATGGACGGCTCCACTCTCTTACTCCCAACATGCTTCATTCCTTCTCCCCTCTGTGCCTTTGCCTGCTCTACACCTTCTACTGGGATTGCCCAGAGACAGGAAGCAAAATTCCTGGAGTCACACAGCCAAGAGGGTGGAGAGCTGAGATTTTAACGTGCACATGTCAGATTCTCACAATGAGCAGCCCCCACAAGTCTCTTTCACTTAGAACTACCACCTCATGGACGTTGCCAAGTTCCTAACATGTACTAAGAACTGCATTAACCATTTTAAATCACTGCTTCATTTAATTCCCACATCTCCCTGAAGCAGGCTGTCGCCTTCCCATCGGAGAAATTAAGTCATTGCTCCACTGTTGTACAGTGCCTAAGTAGCAAGTACTCAGCCCTTCACAAATCTCCAGGGTTGCTACAAGTATAAAATTATAAGTCAGACACTTTTCAAAGTATATGGGCCAATGAGTACATGGAAAAAGCTCAGTGTTTTTGGTCATTAGAAAAGAACAAGTCAAGTCAATGCTGAGATTCCACCTTACTCCAGAAAGAATGGCTATTCACCACAAACTAAAAAATACTAAGTGCTGGCAAGTCTGTAGGGGAAAATGAACGCTTCTCATTACTGGTGGAAATAGCAGCTAGTACAACCACTGTGGAAATCAGTAGGGAGATTCCCCCAAAAACTGAAAGTAGGGATTCCATGTGACCCAGCTATACCTCTTTTGGGTACCCTTCCAAAAGAATGGAAGACATCATATACAGGGGTACATGTATACCCATGTTTATAGCAACACAACTTCTAGGAGCTAAATCTTGGAAAGACTCATATGTCTGCAAACAAATGAATAAAGAAAATGTGGTATTTATATGGACTGGATTACTACTTAGTCATAAAATAGGTAAATTTGAGTCATTTGTGGGAAAATGGATGTACCTCGGGACCGTAATGCTAAGTGAAATAAATTAGACACAGTAGGTTAAATATTGTATGGTTTGTCTCATATGAGTAACGCAAAGTCTAACTGATTTAAAGAGTAAAGTGAAAGACGAATGATAGGAACCAGGAAGATAGTCTATGTGGAGACGAGCAGTGGGCTGGGGATACAGGGAGATAGGAGGGAGAAGAGGGAAAGGAGAAATGAAAAAGATCAAGATGTGATATGTATATGTACCAATTCCCTATGATGAATGTGTTTATTATGTATTGCAAACATATACTAATAAAAGGGAAAACTATAAGTCAAATTTTCTGTTGATCAAGTGTTGCTTCAATTGAAAACAGATTGATTGCATATGAGCTGAAGGTGCCAGCCATCCTGCTTTAGAAGTCTAAGAACAAGCGATGGTGTTGCCAGTGGAGATGACGATGATGCAGGAGGACCAGACCTGGGTCCCTCAACAGGCTTTTCTCAGCCCAGCCCCCGGGGTGCCCACAGATGCTCACTACATGTGATCTTCTTGCCGACACAATCAACATCTGCGCTGAGCTTGGCAGGGTCTTGGAGACAGTCCCTCTCGGCGGCCTCCTCATAGCACCTGCGGTGCTGGAAGCAGCAGCTGTGGCAGACAGGGAAAAGGGGTGTGGGGAGAACAGGGTTAGGAAAGGGAGAGGCAGGCAGCCAGGAGCATCCTGTCTCTGGATGGTCTTTGGCAGTGGTCTGTTTCAAATACTTTGTACGTGAACACACACACATACATGCACACACACACGTGCATGCATATACTTGTTATCTGCTACCTCACAAGCTCAGGTGGCAAGTCTGTATTGCTCCTGCCCAGCACTGGAGTGTCTATAACCACCAAGATGGCCATAGATCTCAGCTCCAGGATGTCATGCAAAGGTGGCTCAGAGAAGGTGAAGATTAGGCTTGGGCTGGTTCCTCATTCAAACAGCAAACCTTTGGATGTTCCTTTGATCACCACTCCGTTACTGTCCACATCCATTTGAGGAGCTACAAAATGCCATAACAAGCAGCTGCACTGCTCCATCTCTGTCCTTCTGCCTGGCCTCACACAGCTTTACTACCCATCCCTGTTTGCTGGTGGTGACAGACACAGCTGTTATCGCTTGCTGGGACTGACCAGTAAAACCAAAGTCAGGGCTATTTGGGGGTGTAAACTAACACTTTAAAGGAAGATATTGACTCCTGAGGTGTCAGTCAAAGTTATGGATCTCAGCAACTATACAGTAAATGGAAAGAAGAGGATGTAGTCGGCAAGAATGACCTTCGCTGGGACAGGTGGCTTCCATTTTAAAACTTTGTCTGCATCCTCTTGTGTCCACACCTTGTGTTTGAGATTTGCCGCGTATGGCAGGCAAAGGGAAAAAGAGGAAAGAGCAAGTTTTGTATTCCGAAGGCCGAGAAGTTGATCATATATGAAGACTTGGTCTGGGTGCCATCCCTTCCCAGCCATGAACAGAACAGCCATTGCACAGAACAGCTTGGGCTACCTCAAACAGTGTTCTCACCAAGAACTTGAAGGGGAGCACTTGGGTGGGAACGTGTGGTTTCTTTGGGGCCAGGGAGGGGAAGTGACCTCTCTGTGGTCACATGGCAAGTAAGGGGTAAAGTCAAGGGACTGATTTGTCGGAGAACCTGGTATGCCTCAGGATCAGAGCAAAGTATTGACCTACAGTACTACAGGCCAGAATAGGGCATTGAGCTGCTTAAGCAAAGAATAAAAATGTGAACAAGACAAAGAAAAAACCCAAGTGAGTCTTCATTCTCTGAAAACTTCAGTTGTAGATGGGAAACTCTGCTGGCTAAGAAGAGTGTGGGAGGCTCTTGGGTTCCAGCTGGACTCATGAGCCTTTGACAGTGTCTGCAGACCAGCCCAGGAGGTGGAAGGTGATTCAGTAGTCTGGGAGCATACAGCCGATGCCCCAGGCTGGGAGCTCCTGCCTATAGGCCTTGAAAGGAAGGATTGTGACTCTCTACTGCCCTTCCCCAACCTGGGAGCTTGCATTGTAGGGAGGAATGTTCCCCCCAACAAGATACCAGCCCTGCTACTACTGGGACAGGAGTGCTCCTTGGGCTCTGAAGGCAGGAGTGTAGGATCTGAATCAGGGCTCCACCGATTGATTACTTGGGATTTGTCTGGCACAAGTTATTTAACCTCTCTTCAAAGTAACTTTATTTGTAGTTGATTTTCACCAATAGTACGAGGGGTGGTCAAAATATATGGTTAATGTCAAAATTTTAAATTTATTAAAATAAAAGACACTGCCATTAATCCCCATTCAGAATATTTTCCCTTGCTTCTGAGACCCTTATCCCATTGCTCTTGCTACTTTCTGAAGCAGTTCTGGAAGTGCTCTCCTGTGAGTGTCTTTATGAGAAGCAATTAGAACTACAGTGAATTCTGCTATTGGGCGTGATCTGATTGAAAGGCAGACTGGGAAAAACATTATGGTGTGTCCTTATCCACCTTATTTTCCAGATCTGGCACTGTGAGACTTCTTGCTCTTCTCCAAAGTCAAAACTACTATGCAAAGTCAATGTTTAATCAATTCACAGCACGGAGGCAGCCAGGACAGAACAACAAAAGACATGAAAGAGAACTTCCAGAACCGCTCTAGAAAGTGGGAAGATAGTGGTGAGACAAGTGTGTTCAAACCAGGCAGAGTATTTGAGGGAGGTTAATGGAAATGTGTTGTTTTACTACAACATTAAAAAAAAAATTTAAACAGTTTATCTTTTGGTCACTCCTTGTAGGGAGCACTCTTTACATTCTAGGGACTATACTAGGTACTTTATATTTAATGTTCATTTAATGAACTTGCTGTAAATGGAGAGTGTCAGGTCTGGATCCAGGCCTAGGCAGGATCTGATTCTGAGCTTGGAAAAGTTAAGATGATGTAGAGGCAGGATAATGGGAACCACAGGGCCTGAAATTGGGCCAGCAAAGCAAATCCTAAGAGCAGACACTTCTTTTCAATAGGAAGGACGGCAATACTGGGTATTCCTCTTGTTACAGCAGCTAACATTTGTTGAGTGCCTACATCCAACAGCCCTATTCTACACATTTGACACCTGTTAACTCATTTATCCACCACCTGGATCCCGTGTAGCAGGGGCAATGATTACTGTGAGCATTTGCATGTGTCACAGTCACATGTGCTCTATCACTTGCCTAAGGTCAAGATGGTCACAGAGCAAGCTGACACTGAAACTGGGAGGCCAAGTGGTTCTTTCAATACAGACAGGACATTGATGGAGAGCATTGCAAAGGAGAAAAAATACACACAAACACATGATGACTTCAGATAAGCCATAGAATTGTTCATACTACTTCACCTGCAAGAGTTTCTTGGATTCAAGAAAATGTCTACCTAGATCCTATCACCCAATAGGCACTCAATAAAGAGTTGCAGTTATTTTTTGGAATCTAGTGTATGAATTTAAGGTGGAAGAACCTGTCATTGAGGAGTTTGGAAATCACTGTCCACATCAATCTAACTCTGCAGAGAAGTTGAAATTTGGTTGAGCCCACTATTCTGCCAGTTTGGGGATGTTGGTGCCTCGAACCTTTCTTTTAGGTTGGAGTCAGGGATGAATTCCTGTTTCATTTGCTTGACTTCTAGGTTTAGAAGGTTGTTGTAACAAATAAAGGACATAGTTAGGGAAGGCCTGAAAGGGAAACCTGCTCCCTAAGATGGCCCTGGCCCATGCCCCACCCAGACCCAACATGTTCCCACTAGATATCAACAACCAGGAAAGTTGGGTTACTTGTTGCCTAAAGTGGAAGCTGCTGTTTTGTTCTGAAGGCAACTTGAGATCTCTCTTGCAAATCCAGAGATGGGACAGATTTGCTATTATTCTTTGCCAGTCAATAATATACTACATTTTAATTAACTGATTTCATTATTTTTCAACTGTGAAGAATGACTAGAGATTGTCAGCCTAGTCAGTCTGTTGACTTACTGAGGTGCTCCTTTCTGCCAGATCCTGTGCTCCATGCTGGGAGTACAAAGAAAGAGTACGGAGAGACCTCTCAGAGGATGCCAAGCAAAGGGGAAGATGAGTGCTGTGCAAACATCCTTGTGTGTGAAATGGGTGCAAGGAAAAGAAGCCCCAGATGTGTGGGGAGCACAGTGGCTTCTCTGGTGCCAGGGAGTCAAAGCATGCAGGAAGGGTGTCCTCAGGGAGCAATGCCAGGGCAGCCATGGGCTGTCCAGTGCATTACCAAGAGGATTCTTTTCCTACTTTCCATGAGCCCACATACGTGAAAGTGCTGAATTTGGCTCCGGGGTAGCATCAGCTGGGTGGGGCATGGAGACTTGGTGTTACCATTTAAATATGAAGTGTTCCCCTAGACTCATTACTGAGAGCTTAATCCCAAGGTAGCAATGTTCGGGGGTGGGGCCTAGAGAGGCCATTGGATTGTGATGGTGTGAACATCATCCATGGATGGATACATTAATGGGGTCACAGTTGAGTGGGCTCTTAGGAGGTTGGGCCTGGTTGGAGGAAGCATGACCTTGAGACCTGTATTTGGTCCCTGGCTCCTTCTCCTCTGGCTCCTCGCTAGCTTTCTGCTTCCTGGATGCCATGTGTTGAGGAACCTTCCTTCACCATGCCCTTCTGCAGTCATATTTCTTCCTCAGAGCCTGAAAACCATGAGCTAAAGCCATGAGCCAATATAAACTTCTCCTCCTTTAAGTTGATTTTCTTGAGTGTTCTGTCACTGTAATGAAAATCTGACTAACACACCAGGGTTCAGTTTCTCATTTCCATGCAGTCATCATTGCTACTGCTGTTACTATAGTTATAGCCACTGTTTTCTTTACTGCTCCTTCACTAGTACTGCTACTAGAACACTACTGCTGTTAACATTCCTACTTTTGCTCATATTAATATGACTGCAGCTACATTGCTGCTGCTGCTGCTACAACCACAGCTGTTGCTATCACTGCTACTACGACCACCCTGTTACTATTGCAGCTGCCAATCACTGGTACTCTTGAGCCAGGCAGAGTCTAAATCACTTTAATTTGAAATTAGTCATTTAAGCCTGAATGATAATTCTGGAGTAGGTATTATTATTATTGCCTATACTTTAAAGAGAAAGGAAGTTATACTAACTTGCCTAAGATCACGAAGCCAACATTGAGCAGAGAATCAGAATTATCTGGTCCTACTTAATGTGCAATAAACTTATAACAGAACCATATTCCCCAGTTGGTGAACAGCCCAGTTGCCCCTCCTGCCGCCTCTACTTGATGGCCTTTTCTCTGCTAACATCGATGCCTTTACATTGCAGACTTCATTGCCAATCTTGGTGTGTTGTATTTGAATTTATTGTCCAATTATTTTTAAATTTTATTCCCTATAGACTTTCTTTAAAGCAGAAGTAGAATTCTGTTTGTCTCAAGCATAGCACTCATATACTTTTTGGTTTTTGGTTTATATTTGTTGAAAACGGAATAGGAGCCTTCAAGGTTACCTTAACTATGGTGGCCAGAATGGCTTCAAATAAAAAATAATTCTTAAGTTTTGTTACACAGAAAATAACAATTTTCTTTTCTGGAGAGCCTGTTTAAAACTCAGATTGCCAGGTATCCTAAATTAAGTGGTCTGGGATGGATTTCAGGAATCCACATTTTAATGGCTTGCCAGGTGGTTCTGGTGCAGATAGACCCAACCTCTGAAAAACATTGCAGTGCAGTTTTGCATGCTGGGCTTGACACTGGCTCTTGGTAACTGCTAGAGTGGAAGCAGATCATGGGTTTCATGGCAATGAGAAGAGAGGAAACCTGTCACCTACTGCTTGGTAATGGAATAAAGACCCCTTCTGAGTCCCTAGTCCAGGGTGCCTCTACAGTTGAGCTCTGTCCAGCCAGGCCCCCAGGAGCTCACTTGCAGATCCTGCTCACCTGTCAGATTCATCCACGGGCTGCCCTTCCATTTCAAACCTGCAGGAGCAGCCATAGTCCACGAAGTCTCGGGGGCAAAGACCAGCCACACATTGCATGCCGTTCACGAATTGGAGCAGCAGAGGAAAGTTGGTGAAGACAGCCTGCAGCCAGCTGAAGTGGGAGCCCAGGCAGTCTGGAGGGGAGAAAGGCAAGGCCAGGTGAGCATGGGGTGCCAAAGTCTGGGATGGACCCCATACCATGCACTTCCTACATTTGAAACTGATGTGGCATCTTAGGATAATAAGCACCTATGGAGTACTTGGTGCTGTTCTAGAAAATAGAAAGGAAGCAGGCTTATAAGCCTTGATCCTTACTGGTTGCCCACCTACCAGCTAGTTATTTCTTCTTTCTTGCTAACAATAACTGGCAAGTTCTCAAGGAAGGGAAATCTCTCTAAGTTTGTACCAGGATCATTCTCAGCTGGTCACAGTAATTCCATGCTTCCATGCCAGTGGTTGGTCTAGGACCGAGCATGTGACCCAGATCTAGCCCAAAATAAATAGATAGATAGACGTATAGATAGAGAGACAGACAGATGTGTGTTAAAGGACTCTGTAAAGTATTTATTGTCCAATAAAGAATAAAGGCATATAAGAAAGATCCTTTCTTAAATACGAGTATTATGACGGGAATTACAGCAACCACATTGTAATTGCTTTCTATATTACTTTTTTATTTTGCAAGAAAATAAAGTATACAACTTAAAAAATAAAATCCAAAAATTAAGCAGTTCATCAAAATATTTCAGCCTACTGCATACAGAAGCTGCTACCACTTTGAATCGTACAACATTATCCTCAGTATGTAGTGGCACACATTCAAAGACTGCATCTCCATACCACATTGTAATTGTAATCATGAAATTTAAAGCATAAAATTAAAGGCTTTAACAACCAAATATGCTCCAGGTAGCAGTGGAGCAAATTAGAGTGAACCTTCTTTGACACTTGTGTTAAACTATTGCATCAGTTCAGGTACCGTGTGTGAGGTACTACTTGTGTGAGGTCATGGAATGTCTTTATGGTTCGAGGCACTAGTTTGAGGCATTACTAGTTTGCCAAATGGATCTCAAATGACACAGTGCTGGCACCATAAAATCATAGGGAAGTGTGGAAAGAAAAGGGTATAAACATACGATTTTGAGCACTTATGGTGTGCCAGGAACTGCACTAGGCAGTTTCAATAGTACAAGAGTTAAGACTAAGAGAGTATATAACATGTTAGAAAGCATTTACATTGTCTATTGTGCCACAAACTTCATATCAGCCCTGTCAGGTGGGTACTATTATGATCCTCCATTTCACAGGCAAAGACACTGAAGGTTGGAGACACATACAAGTGACCAAACAGGAATAGTAATTTTCCTTAAAATCAGCAAGAAACAAAACAGGCAAGAAAATGATCTTGATTGTTTCTGATTCTAAACTGCATGCCGTACACTCCATTGTCTACCACTGCAATCAGACACTACTAGATGAAGTTACTGCATACTATTGACAATGAACAGGGCTGAAAGAGGGGTCTTGGGGCCATTAAGGGGCAGATGAGGGCAACAGATCTACCTGACTGTTCTAGTCTCTTCCCATCTCATTCAAACTTCCTCTCACATGTGTCATTTCCACAGGGCCTTGGCAGAAAAATGAAAAAACAATTCTATGTTGACAAACAAAACCTCTTTAAAATTTGCATGTGTATGTTTATGTGTATGTGTACATGTGTTTTCATTCAAGATCACACAGGGCCGCTGCCCTCGGTCATGCACACATTTAACAGGGAGCGTCACAGCCAGAGTGGCCCAGCCCAACAGCAGTTCCCAGTTTCCTCTCTTAGGCCAGTTGTAGTGTCATCTTGTTTTGAGGTTCTGTTAACAGTTGATGGTAGGGACCGTCAAGGTGTCCTAATGGCTGCATAATAGATATGAAATTAATAAATGGAATGCCTGACTTAATAAAATTCTATGGCTCTCTGTATATTTACTAGTTGGTGGAGGGGGTTAAGCTATTTTGGTGTAGGGGTTCTGCTCTGGACTCAGAAGCGTGTCTCCTTTCTAGCTCTGTGGCCGTGGGAAAGTCATTTCCTCTCATAGTCTCAGTTCTCTGACCTGTGTGATGAGGGTACCATTCCCCTCCTGGCAGGTCTGCAGAGAGGATGATGAAGTGAGGAATGCGAAGGCATGTGGTAAGTGAATGACTCACAGGAAAGAAAATCAGCACTACTCTTGTCAGATGCTGGTGGCTGGCCGGGGAGGCCCTGGACCCTCAGAGTCAGAAAGAAGGCCGTGATCACTTCCTCAGATTTCCTAAGCATACTTCACGCCTGACACTTGGTCGATCAAAGCAATTTTACTTTAACTTACCAAGTATTTCAGTGACACTTTCGACGTTCTTAAACATCCCATTGAAGAATGTGCTATCTAAGTGGAAGAAAGAGAAAATGAATTAAAGGGTCTTGCTCTTCCCTCTTTCCCCACTCCCTATCTAGTGAACTCAAAGCTTTTCTCCTTTTCTAAGGACGAATTTGACCTGAAGGTAACTTTCTTGGATGCAGGTTACCACGAAACCTGGTGAAGATGAACTTTGAACTGAACTGTCTTACAGGCAATGTTGCTCAGTGGTAACAGTGGCCCATGGATGGTGCAGCATATTTGGACGGGACGAACTGTGAAATATAGGTGCTGTTAAAATATCATCACCTTCGGTTTCTAAGCCAGTGTGTTGAGTCTCTTACCTGGGCATGTTTCTCCTGGGCATCATGGATAACATAGCTATGGATTGTTACTAGGGATATTGGAGCTTCATCCTATAGAGGATGAACCTTCTAGGCCTTCGCTGGTCTGTGGCTACTTCAGGGGAGACCCTGTCCCTCACCCTTGAGCTACCATTAGGCTCTCCTGAGCTGCTGTATAGAGTGAGGGCGCTGCTCCTCCAGCTGAAGAGGGGTGGCAAGAGTCTACTGGTGGGTCTGACCCCAAGGAAACTACTGGAGAAATGCTTCTGGGGCCCCCTTGGATCACTTTACTCACAAATGCTGCACCAGTAAGTGGCTCTAGGGTGTACTCAGAAGGGACATTTTTTCTGCCATTATCCTAGACAACTTTGTACGAAGGTCCCAAGGAAAGTTAAAAAAATCCTTACTGATATTTTTTGAGAGTCCTGGAGTCAGGTCCTGTGGGAGGTGTGGCGTGTCCAGAGCATGGCCTCCTAGAGAGAGAAAGAAAGAGAGAGAAAGAGAGGGAGAGGGGGGAGGGAAGGAGGGAGAGAAAGAGAGAGAGAATAGTCAGCACAAACCATGCCACCGCCTCTTGCTGGGCAAGACAGGGAAGTGACAACCAGAAAGAAGGGAGGATGCCAGAAAATTCAATTCTGTGCGTGTTTCATTAGCACCTGCAGTGTTCTGCTTGTGTGGGGGAGCTTGGAACATAAGGGTGTGGCTAGGGTAGCCCTGGTATTTTGGGGTGATTAGCCTTTGCAGTGGCATTCTGGTTGAGGGGACAGATTTGGGGACTTTTCAAAAGTTTTCTTTGCATATGAGGCCTACAGCTTCATTTAGGTGCATGTTTGCGTTGGGGTTCCTTGAGGTTAACCCTGGTGGAAAGAAGTAAAGACATGGAAAGGGGCTCAGCCACTAAGGAGTTTATAACTGAGTAAGGGGAGTTTCCCTGTCACTGAAGTTATCTGGGTTCAGGCTCATCACACATTCTGATCCCATGTGCTCACTCCCATCTGATCTGGCCAGTTTGGAGTGGGACTCATACAAAGGCGTTTTTGACAAGCTCCTCAACTAGATATGAAGCTGATTTTCTCAAGGCCACACTTTGAACAACATTGCTTGGAGATATAATGACAATGGAGTGGGGGACTCACACCCAGACTCAAACGTGGCCATCACCTTGGCCAGCACCTCATCAGGGTGAGCACAGGGGTGAAGCCTAGTCAGAGTGGACGAAGAGATGGGAGCTGGAATCCCAGTTCGGCCACAGATTCTTTTCCCCAAATGTTCATGCTTATGCTTCTTCCCATTGATGTGAAGCACATGGGGAATCAAAACTGTCAGGAGACTTTTTGTCTCTCTTCATCAAGTGGACAAATAAGTAGTTCAACCCAGCAGCTGTACATTCTTAGAGACCTCATCTAATCAAGAGCAGCAAGAACCAGCATTCATGGAAGCACATGAAGGTGAGTCTATTCAGAAGGGCACCCCAGGTCATGCTTGACTTGATCCTGCTTGGCTGATGGTTCTCAGCCTCATGCTACTGACTGCAGGGTTAGATAGTGACCTGTTGGGGGGGATTGCCCTACAGACATTGCATTACAGAATGTTCAGTATCATCCCTGGCCTCTGCCCACTGCATGCCAGTTTTAACCTCCAACCAGTGGTGCTGGGTGAGTGTACACATGCATGTGCATGTGTGTGTGTATGTATGCACCACCCATGAAGATCCACCAGCTAGAAGAGCAGGGATCCTGGCAAATATGGTCAGTGGCCGGCTGTCTGGCCCTCATTGTCTTGTTATCCCTTCAGCTAAAGTTCTCAAGCGGCCACTTTCATTGTCTTTTAATCAAATTCTTTCCCTTTGGAGTTTCCAGTAACCTGGCTGAGGGAGTCACGGCCCTCATACCCAGCCTGTTAGGATCTATGCCTTGGGTAGGTGCAACCTCTCTAGACTCTGGCTTCTTGCCTGTAAAACAAGAGGAAGCAGGGCCTGGCGTCACCTGGGCCTTTCCAGATCAAAAGACAAAGACCCAAGACTCTCTGTCCATTCCCACGTGACACCTATTAAAGCAGGAGAACAGCCAAGTGGCAGTGTGTAGCTTATGAGGTATCAGAGAAGCTTCACCAGGTCAGCGGAGGGTGTTTGGAGATGGTTTGGAGCAATGAAGAGTTTCTCAGGCAAGAAAGACGGGACAGAGACAGAAGCAAAGACATACTGCTGTGAAATGTGCATCTCACCTGAGGGCCAGCGTGGCTTGGTACAGTTGTGGCCTTTGCACTTCAATCATTCTGAACCACTTTATTCTCCCCACATGTTCTGGACATGTACATGAGATGTGACCTCTGTCGGGGTGACTTGACCATGATTGGGCCTGGCTGACCCCTGCACCCACCTACCTCCATGTATAAATCTTTCCTCACTTCTTCCAACCCTGGGGGCCTGTGGGCTCATTGCTTGTCGTCTGGCCTCCCATCCCCTCCACTGACCATGGCACTTCTCGTGCTCAGCTTCAGGATTTCCTGATTTGTCTGTCTCTCCTGTTAGACTGTGAGTCTCTCAAGGGCAAGACCCTCCTCCCTGGTGTGATTTCAAGTTTGCCCATGGCTGGGCCTTGGGGAAGGAGAGATAAAGCTGTAATATCAGAGGCAGCAGAAGGACAATGTGCCTCAGACAGAAGGATTTCGGCTCGTGGAGGCTTGTGCTTATATGCAGGAAGGTCATGGCTCCCAAGCTGTTTAAGAGGAGGGCTGGTGCCTTTTACTCATGTACCGCCTGGTCTCATCCTCCCCCCAGGGCTGGGAGCCTCAACAAAACTGAGGCTCATTACCGTAGTGACATTGTCCTCTGACCTGGCTTAGTGGGCTTTCTTTAAATTTGGCCCCTGTGGGCCCTGCCAAGTCACACCCCACTTTGGACCTTACATCCCTGCCATGTCCGAAGGTTTCTGGTGGTGGAGACATGAAGTCCCTTCTGCCCCCTACTTGTGCTGCGCCCTGCAACTGTGGGCCCCCCCTTTGCCCTGCTAACTTTTAGTGACATGTCATAGTTCCACTTGAAGTTGAAGAAGCCCATTGACCTGTAACCTGACCCCTAACTTTATCCATAACCTGGGTGGAGCTGGGGACACCCGCTGTGCTACCACAATGTTGTGGAAAACCTTCTGCCATTGCACATGTGCCCATCCCCGTATTGCAATGACCTGGCTATGGAACTGTCTTCTCCACTACAGCAGGGACTGAGTGAAGGTAAGCAGTGAAATGTACATGATATGTATATCATATATATGTATGTGTGTGATATATATGTATATATACATATATAATGATGTATATACATATTTACATCAAGAGCATGTGCATGAGAGAGAGAGAGAGAGAGAGAGAGAGAACAGGTCCCCACTGATGTCTGTTGAGTGAATGAATAAACATAAAATAGTTGACCTGCACCAACAAATGGCCTATAACAATTGCAAGGGAGCCTCCAAGAATCATGGAGTCTCTTTAGTAGCCTGTGAATAAAAGTAGATAATGTGATTTCTGTAGGTAGAGTGATCAAACCTGTGAATAATTTTGAGTGGGATTTCACAGTGCAAAATGAGTTTCTACTGTAAATGCCTTGTGCTCAGCTTTCTGCCAGGGCCCTTCTCAGTCACAGTCACATGTTCTGGAAGATGAGCACAGAGGATGCAGAGGATGGGAACCCACGGGCAGCTGTGTGGTATGGGGGCTGGAAAATAAGCTCGCGGGCAGGGGGCCTGTGGCCCAGGTAGAAAGTCCAAGGGATGCCTTCTAAAAGCAGTGTCTATCTCCCACCACTCACTTCTGTCCTGATGCAGAGCCAGCACAGGTGAGGCGAACAGTGGCCTCTCCAGCTCAGTGGAGGGAGTAAACTTGGAGGCTACTCCTCATCCTGTGACACAGGAGCAGAGAAACAAAGCAGGGGAGACATTGTAATGCACAGAAATGTTCCCCATCATGGACACTTACCAAGCTTGTCTTGGAATCTGACTCAGATCGCCTGAAGTAGCCAGGAACAGCAAACACACAGAAGCTAACCATAGAAGCTCAACTAGCACAAAGCCCGTGACTGTGTTCTGAAGCCCAACTGAGTGTTCTCTGTGTCCCCAGGCTGCACGCAACCAATAAGTCAACATGGGCAGGTGTATCACTGTGCACGGGGCGGTAGGGGACACAGAACTCTTCAGGCAGGACTCTTCTCCCTCAGTGGCCGTGTCACACTGTCCTCAGCTCCCATCATAGTCTTTGCTGCATCTCCTCCCTCACTGAGAGCTGTTTAATGCTTCCTCGGCCTTTCCTAGTTGCCTCTCCATTTTTTACTCATAAATGATTGCTCTAATGAAACTTTTGTGTGCTCCTTCTGGGATTTGTGTCCATTTCTCAGAAGCTTCAAACAAACACACTTTTTAGGGCAGAAGCCTCAGAAACAGTCATTTCCCCCAGTGTCTGGACTCAGAGTGAATGAGTTCACTGGACAGGCAGTCCTGTCTTGTGGTGGTAACTCACACCCTGCAAGCCTGGGGCTGTGGATACATTCAAAGCATGCATAAATCTGTATGTTTGAATTTAAATTCTATATGACTGTAATTTTTTGGATGGTAGATGTATGTTTTTAAGAGTAAAATCAGGGAATGCCAAAAAACGTTTGTGAACAGTTTTTAGTAATAGGAGATAAAAGAGGAAAAAGAAACAAAGCAGAAAGAATAGAGAGGATGATGTTCAATGACCTCAGCTTTATGGAAAAATATAAAAAAAGTAAAAGATGCTGTAAAACGTGGCAGGGGAGATGTTAAAGAGGCAGTGTTGAGGAAGGGAAATGTATTGTTTTAAAAAAGAAAAATATTAGTTATCAAAGAAAATAAACTTTAAAATTAGGAAAATGGATGTGGTGAGTAAAATCTTATTTGAAAGAAAAGATACCAAAGGGACTGAAAATCTATAGAATACAGTATTTCACATTATTTTCATCAGAAATGAGGCATGGCAAAGTCATAGTTGGAATCTGATTAGATTGAATTGAGGTCTAGGTAGTTGAGCTACTGATATCAGTCCCAGTCTCCTGGCAGTGGGATGCAAATCATGGCAGAATGTTTAATCAGGGAAAAGTATAGGAGAAGGAAGGAAGGAGTCAGTAAGTGGTTGATCTGCTGTGTTTGGGAGGGAAGGGCTGAGATGGACCTGCAAGAAAGGCCTTGAGTCTGAGATTGTAATTGTAACTTACAAACTTCTCATCCATAGTGCAGACCTCTTGTCCACTAACTTAGGTCATGGTCAACAGATGATCAGTAAATATTTGTGAATTCACATTGTCTCTTTCATTGCTGATAATTGGGAAGGGCGGCTCTTGAGAGTGGAGAATCAGTGTGTTGGTCCAGGATTTCCTTCAATATGAGAAGTATTGACTTGTATCTACATGTTCTATATGGCTTGTATCTAGATTTTCCCCCAAACCTCATGCATTCCTAGGTGTGGCTTTTCAGAGGTGGCTGGATCTAGGGTGCGTGAATAGGGATTAAGTGTGGTGATAATTAAATTCATTTAGCATAGTTCTGGGTGTGGATAATAGGAGTCCCTCCCTGGGTGTAGGTGGCACCAGCCAATTGGATTGAATATAAAGGAAAAGAAAGAAAGCAGGTTGCTGTTTGCTGCTTGCTGCCTCCTACCTCCTACCTGTTGTGCCATGAACTGTTTCTCCTCTGTGATGCTCCTCTGCCATGCCTGCTTACCTTGGAACCAGCTAACTATGAACTGAAACCTCTACCAACTGTGAGCTGAAATAAACCTCTCCTCCTTTAACTTTGGGTGTCCCACACTGTGTCTCAGCAACAAAAATGAAGAAGATAAAAAATTTCCAGATCATGAGTGATGCTATCTACTGTGGTGCAGCCAGATGGAAGGAGGAGAGCAGCAAGGCCAGGTATTTAAGAGTTGCACAAACAACCAAGAAAGCAAGTAGGAAAGGGGCCAGAAGCTCGGGTTCCTAGCTGAGGTTCCAGGTGAACTTGACCTTGCTACCAAGGCTGCCAAAGAGCATGCTCAGGTGTCTTTAGGTTTTGGACTCACTTTATTTTCTCTTATTTTTGGTGTTTGAGATAGGGTCTCACTATGTATAGCTCAGGTTGGCCATAAACTCATTACTTACCCTCAGCTGGCCTTGAACTTATGGTGATCCTCCTTCCTCAACCTTCCAAGTGCTGGGATTACAGGTGTGCACACCACACCTGGCTTGGGACTCACTTTAGAAGGTGAGGATGGATGCTCTTGACCTGGTCTGTAGCAGCCCAAGGAAAGGACACTAATCTATGGCAGTGTGGTGGTTACAGGGAAATGATTGGCTGTGGATCCACAGAGGAGATTGATGGGCCACACTTCTGGGTGCATCTGGGTGGGTCATGGAGGCATGGCACTGGATGCTATGTATGACTCCTGCCCCTTCCTCTCTGGTTCTTTTCTCCTTCTCTGTTTCTTGGCCACCATGAACTGAGATGCTTTGCCGTGTATGCTGAACCTTTCCTCCATGATGTCTGCTTTGGAGCCAGTCAACCAAACATGGATTGAATCCTCTGAAACCATGCCCCAGCAACCTCTCCTCTTTAAATTGTGGGTATTATTATTATTACTGTGTCCCTGTGACGAAAAACTGACTAAGTTAGTCAGCAAGGCCAACATGCTGTAAGGAAATCAACAAACCAAGCACAGTAGCTGCTGATCAGAGGTGAGCCACATTTCTAGGTAAAGGGAGGTGTCTAATCTTAGTCTCTAAGACCACCTTGCTCTTTGGTCCACCTCATTCTCTGCTGCATCACTGATACCGCACTCTCAGGTGCTGCATAGGGTGCTCCAACATTAACAATCAAATGGAATGAAACCTATAGCTGTTAGAATGCTTGATTTCCATCACTCAGGCAGAAAGGCGAGAAAGTACTGAGCAGTAAATAGATGCAACTTGCCAATCCTCCCCAATGTTCCTATTAAGTAATTACATGTTAAGCTGGAAAAGTGTCAAATTTCATTACTTACCAACCCCAGGAACCATCAGCACACTGACTACAAGAGGCACAATCATAGTGTACAGCACAGGATGCAGCTCAGGCATCAACTGCAACAGCGTCCTGAGAGAGAGGGCAGTGGGTTAGAACAATTTTGCTTTCAGTACTGCACAAAAAAGCAGCAGGAACTTGGCCTCTTTTTTGTGCTACAAGATAAGTGGTAAAAAGACAAAGTCCAAGAGGGTTTCTGTCCCAACTTCACCACTAACTAGCAGTTTTGACATTAAGGAGATCACATTTCCATTTGGAAACTTCATTTATCCGTCTATCCAGTTGAAACTGAACTGTGAGTTCCTTGGGGACACAGTTACGGTCTCATTTATTTACTTATGGACTTTCTGGTCGTTTGCTCCAGACCTGCTGTCAGTGTCAGTGTCAGGAATTCTGAATTTGAGAATGTCAAATGGGGAAGCATAACTCACAGAGCCTGTCACACCAGCATTCCAACCACACCCTCAGCAGGCTGGCTTTGAACCAATGAACCAACATTGCTCCACACGTGAATACATTTGGCGACCATGTGATGGCGCTGCCCTCGAGCGAACACCGCTTCCAGAAGCCTCTCCACCTTTCTTGATCAACAGATATGCCTCACAGCCTGCCCTGGAGGCCAAGGGATAAGGTAGGCAGAATCCAGGAACCCTACGACACCTCAGTTGTAGCTTCCCTGTGCTCAGATCAGAAATATTTAACTTCAGTAAGTACTCTCAAGCCTGTGGACTGCATGTTTAATAGGGAAGGGGGCAAGAACAGACCAGAAGTTTTTAAAATAATTTTAGTTCCTGGAAAAATAGCTCCTTAGAAAAAAGGAAGATAATTGGTTAACTTGTGCATATTCTGTTTCACATCATCTTTTTAGGACAAAGCATGAAGGATAACACAGAACACCCATGCTACCTTAGTGGCACATATAGGGCTGCCAGATATGGTTGTACATGTTGTGTACTACTAAAGATGCCAGCTAACGGGGAAAATAGGGGCTGAAATAGACTCAGGACTCAGCTTTCAAGCTGGCCATCTCAGCTTGGCTCTCACAAGCTGGGCTCCATCAACCTGGGGAAGGAGCACATTCTGTAATGTGCTATCCCAGAGGCAATAGCTGCCTGAGTCCTGCTTGTCATAGTCCAGTTGGCTGTGCATAGGGCTTGGTATTGGGGAAGGTGTCTCAGGGAAAAACACCATGGATGGTCGGGCCACCGCTTTGTGAACCTGCCCCAAGGTCTAGCACAGCCTCTTGTGGCTACAAAATGAATTGTTGTTGAATGAATGTAAGAAGGTAGCGTGTGAGATCTTGGAACATCTCACTCAGCTCAGGCATTCCCTAATAATCTGTAGTCTGACTTTTCTTATATTCTGCATGTGCTGTACAAACTCCTAAAGCAGGTTAATTTTCAAGGTGTGACAGGTTCTTTGATTGTTCTGTGGAGATTCACTTCAGAGTGATTTTTCTCAGACCTGAAGCCAGACTGACAGGGAAGGATGAGCCTCGTGGAGTCCACCGGTGGACAGTTGTGGGTACTATGAGCCCCTTCAGAGGGCCACCAGCCCCTGTGAAGTCAGACCCATGAGACAAAGACCAGCGTGAGCTCGGGCACTTCAGTCAGTACCTAGCCCTTGCTCTGTCACATTGACTATTTGTCACCATCTTATGGGAGAGAAGGCCAGGACATTTGAATGGGGAAGGGCGTGGGCATCATCTAGTCCCAAGGCATATTTTACAGGTGAGATCACTGAGGCTCAGAGGCTACAAAATATGGCAAAGTGCCCCTTCCCAGGTCTCTCGATCCCAGCCCAGTGCTAGTGCACTATCAGCCCCTCCCCAGAAAGCTGCTGCAGAGATGAGTTCATCTATGCAAGGTGCCAACTGCAGGGCCTGACATAGAGAAGTTGCTCTAAAGCATTAGTGACTGCAGCCACAGGCTGGCCCCAGGAAAAGGCTCCCGGGATAGCACAGTGAGGACAAAGGCCTTGGTGCTGCTCCTGTTCTCTGTGTGGAGGCCCCTCTGAGGAATGAAGGAGGGGTTGGTTTAGTGCGGTGGACCCCTGTCTTGTCCATCTTGTGACACTCATTGAGGAGTATCTGCTCCCTGGGTTGCCCTGCAGCGCAGAGAAGACAGCTGAGGCCCAGTCTACCTGCTTGCTGGACTCAGATGAGCAAAGGCGACCTGATTACAGACAGCCTTGACTCTGCTGTAGTTTATTTTTAGAAAGCAATTTACAGGGAGGGGCCAAGAGGGATTCTTGTTTAATGGATCCAGGGTTTCACTTGGGGAAGATCAAAAAGTTCTGGCACAGGATGGTGGGGACGGTTATACAAAAATGGGAATGTATTTAATGCTGTTGAACTAAACACTTAAAAATAGCTAAAATGGTAAATTTTATGCTCTGCCTATTTTGCCAGATTTTTGAAAAGAATCTATAGACTCCAGGACCTTATTCGTCACATTTATTTGGTCTTTCTTCGTGTTGGACACCCCCCTCCCTGCACATGCTGCACATTATCTAGGAAAAGCATGGTAGGGCTTCCCCCTCACCTGCCTCGTTTCCAGATGCAAGGCATCACTCAGAGAGGGCCTGTCACTGGCCAAACTGCCTCCACAAGAGGTTCAGTTGCAGGGGGTGCCATGCAACATGTGACCCGGGCTTCAAACTGCGGCCACCCAGTCCAATCTAATTTAGGATTCTGCTGCGTGGATGCTGCCTTAAGCTTCGTGACTAGCCACGCGGTCCCAAATAAGCATCCTAGTCGTCATCCTCTGTATACGCGTCATAGTTATTGGGGACCCCGGCTTGGGAGGACCCAGGAGTGGTGAGTTCTTCCCGGCTGGGGAGGACCCTGAGATTTAAAAACTCCTTGCTATGCCGAGAGAAGGAGAGTCCCGGTGCCAGCCAGAAGGTGGCAGCACGTAGCCAGCCGTTCAGGCTGCTGCTAAAATCTGCGCTCTTCTGTTGGCGCACACCTTGGGCTGTTCGTGCCCCTGGGCCGTGGCCACCTGGAAGGTGCTTTCGTGGGCAGCGCTATCCCTATAGACTGGAGAGGCGCCTTGGTCTCGCCTTGATCTCAATGCTTTGCACGTGGAGTCCAGAGCCACACGCCGCAGCTGCCTAGAGCTCGTTTTCCCCGGCATCAGCAGCCACACAGAGTGGTGGTGTGTGAGCACCAAACAGGACCAGGCTGGCTGAGGCAGAACGCCAAACCCTGCAGCACTCGGAGCTCAGGGAGAGGGGCGATTGGAGGGACGACTGAAGTTCCGTACCACGGCCCCTGGGGCAGACTGGTCTCAGGTTTATAGCAGCCTTGCTGATGTGCCGTGCGCTCCCCCCGCCCTCCCCCTGCCCCTGGGAAATTAACCAAGGTCTCTCTACCTGGCAGGTATCTTCTCATACCAGAACTCAGAGTGCCTCTGGGTTTCCAGCCACACCAGAAGTAACACCCCGCGCTCCCACAGTCCTAAGAACGCCTTTCCTCCCTTGCTATCTCCCCCTCCTCCCGTCTCTATAGCCGCTTCTCTCTCCATCTCTCCCTTTTTACCTCCTTCCCTTCCTCCCCCGTCTCCCTCCCTCGCTTTCTCCATCCATTCCACGTTCCTCATTTCCTCCCTCTCTTGTTCCGTGCTTCTCATCCTCCATCCATTTCACTTTGTATTTCTCCCTCCCTCTTTTATTCCTTCCTCTCCTCCTCTATCTTCCTCTCCCTCTGGCCCTCACACCTTCAGGAGAAACAGGTGCCTACCGTGATGGGTGACCCAAAGGCTGTTGGACCAGCGATGCTTGGCTTTGACGGATGGAGGCTGAGTCCTTTATATTCCAAGGGCAAGACCCCTGGTCATGTGAGATCTACCACCCGCACCCCCACCCTCACCCCCACCCCCACATCAAGAAGACAGCCTTTCATGAAGGCTAGCAGGTGGGCTGCCTCCCTGGGTGGGGGAGGCCTCCTAATACTATGGCTTGGCACAAGGGAAGGCTGCATATTAAGAGGCCCATCCTGAACCTCCTAGGAGACCTGGGCTCTAATTAGAGAACAATGGCTGCCCTGTTCCATGCCGCTCGGCCTCCCCACCTGGCCTCAGGGGCTCATGGGCTGAGGGATTATGTCTCAGGTCATCAGGGAACTCTGAGGGATGAAAGGCGGTGCAAGTCATGGCACTGTCTTGCAAGAGAAAGGGCTGGCTTTGTCTGGCCCAGCTGATTCTTCAGCTAGAGGCTGTTTGGGATAGTTTGTATGTGCTCCTGGCCTCGGACCTGGGAATTTGATACCTCTTTCCTTGAGAAGTTTTCTGCTCAGCTATGAGGTACAATGACACAGACCTTTATAATTAGATGTCTTGGGTTGCACTACCAGGCCTGCCATTCATTGAGTAGCAGTATGACATTGAACCCCTCCGTGCTCAGTGCTGGCTTCCTGATTCATTAAATGGGCACAGTCCCACTAGCATTGTGAGGTGGGAGAGAGCTATACACAGCATGTAGTGTAGGCCTCTTTCAGGCTGGCTCCTCTGCTCTGCCCTCCATATCCCCTTGTGAAGGTTTTTGCTCCTGACCTTATAGGGAGAACTGACTTTTATTGTGCGTCTAGCGTGTACCACACATGTCTAATAATGCTTTGCAGGGTTTGCCCCTGCCTTTCCTATGGCAGTCACACCATCCCTGGCTGCTGTGTGATACTGGGAGAAATGCAGCGTTGGTTCTTTTTAACAGGCAAGAATAGCAATACCATCACGACTGATGCGTTTGTCCAACTTCCCGTGCACTGGGGTCACCCTTGGGCCCTGGCCGTGAACCTCTGGGCTTTGCATTTCATCACTGCCACCTGCAGAAGTGGGATTCACGGACAGCTACCTCTGGGCCCAGCTGAGCCCCTGCAAAAGACTGCACTGAAGGATTTCTCCAAACAACAGCTGTCCGCGTGCAGTCGGGCTCCTGTCTGCACGTCTTGCCTGCTGTCCAGATGCTCATGGAGTTTGAGGACGGAGGCTGCACAGGCCTGGTCCTGCCCCTGCACAGAGGATCCGTTGCCTCTAAGCTGTTGAGTCCAGGGGAGCACGGGGATCAGTGCACACAAATGTGTCTTCTCAGCACCTCGGAAGCACAGCTGCTGCACGATGCTAAGGCACAGTAACAACCTGCCCAGGTAGTCAGGTCATTCTCGACATTCTGTGGGGGTGGAAGGTTTTCTCCCCAGAGCCTATAAGAACAGAGTGTCTTTACCGCAGCACTGTTGCCACTGGGAGCCAAATCACTCTCTGTCGTAGGCCCTGTCCTGTGCATCTCAGCATCTAGGGCTCCACGCATTACATGCCAGTAGTCCTCTCTACCCCACCCCACTGAGCTGTGACAACAAAATGTCTCTGGACAATGCCAAGTCTCCCCTCAGTGGCTGAGCCACCCTTGGTGAGAGGCACTGGCCTCTAATATCCCTAGTCCTGCCACCTTCCCTCCTCTGTTGGTGGAATAGAGTGAGAGACCAGTCACAAGAACCCAGGCATAAACAAAGAGAATTTAAAATTACACATTTTATCACAAGAGCAGTTGCGTCCCTCTCTCATGCAAAGCCATGCCCTATGCCCTATGCAGACACAGGGACACATGCATACGCAAACGCACAGACACACCTAGGTGCCAAGAGACACAGACATACTTTTTCCTCTCCCTCCTTTCCCCGACATTCTTCTTCCTTTCACCCGTCCCTCTTTTCTCCCCTCTCCCTCTTTTCTTTGCCAGCAGAGCTTATTTTGGGGGCATGCATGAAACAGACAGAAATGCATTTGTATCTCTGCTTCCAAGAAAAATGTGATTTACTGACGTGACATATGTAACCACACAGTCAGCGTCATCAGCTGATGCATGGGGTCGCTCAATCTCTCATCTCATTTGTTAAGCACTGGTGGCCGCACATGCATGAATTGGAGCCTGAGCTGGAGCATAACCCTGAGGCCTAGGCCTCCTCTTAGCCCTGAGTCAGGGCACACTCAGCTCAGGAGGGGGCCCCAACTCCCTTAGGCTCCAGGAAACCAGTGGGCCCAAAGTGATCCGTTTGCTCTGGGGCTCTGCCTAGCCCCTGCCATTGCTGCTCTGTGACAGAAGATGTGGCGGTAGAAAACTAGTCCCACTAGTTTTTTCCTGCACTCTGAGCCTTTATTCCTAATGCCAGGTCAGACCCTTGCCCACATTTGAGCTCAGTCACTGTTTCAAAGAATGAGGCAGTTGAGTCCATACGGGCTGTTCCTGAGCAAACAGCCCTGTTCTTGGATCCAAGTTATCAGTCTGTCCCTCCACTTCCCTGGGGTAAGCTCCTCTGTAAGAACTGCAGGTGCCCTTTCCTGCCCAAAGTCCTTAACACCAACTTCTTTCATGAGGAGGGGCTCATCAAAGTAATCCACGCCTAATGAGAGGGACTGTTCTTTTTATTCTTATCCAGGAAGGAGTCTCTTTGCTGCTAGAGAATTTGCTGTGTCCACCTCACCTTTGCAGACTAAAGCGTCCTTTGCGGGCCCCCAAAGTCATGACGACAGCTATCTATGAACTTGATATCCCGTAACTTTGAGGGTCTCTCAGGCGTTCTGGAAATTAAGCAGGAAGCTGTCTGTGTGAATAGGCAGGGAGTGTCTGACTCTTGTCTTTCCACAGACCTTTCATAGCACTACCGGGACCCTCGGGTATCCTATTTTGTACTTGGATTATGAACAAAAAGTGACTTTTATTACCAAAGGTCCACCATAGACCACTAAGGGGTAGAAAATGGATGCCTGGGCAGAGTGCTAAGGTAACACCAGGGAGGTGGATCCACAGGCACACAGGAGGAAAGCTATCCCTGGTAAGGGGGAAAAAATAAGATCCATGCAAACAGCAACCTGCCTAGTAATGTTGGCATAGAATCTGCTGTCTAGACTAGAGCCCCTCCAGACCTGGAAACAGTTGTCAAGGGAATTGACCCAGTGAAGGGGGCAAGCAGTCAAGGGCTGGCTCAGCAGGTACACTGAGTTCAAACCCTGAATCTCCCAAAACAGGTCTGGCCCTGCTCCGGGAATATCACACCTAAACCCTTGTGACATCCCGATGGCAGAGTCTGTGTACATAACTGCTTTGGGCCACACCAGGTAGCCTATGAAAACATGCGATTCATGGTGCGGGTCTTGGATCATGTAGCATCAACTTGACCTCAGGAAGGGCTCGGGCACCAAATGAACAAGTCCAGTCACACAATCACTCCATGCCTACTTGGCTGGCCTTTAATAAAACTGCAGGACACCAAGGCTCATGGGCTTCCTGGGTGAGCATGCTCCATCCGCACTGCTAAGGGGATTAAGTGTTGGGTGCATCACCCCATGTAGAGAAGAGGACTGGGCCTTGTGCCTGGGCCTCCTACCTGCTGCTGCTTATGCCTTTTACATTTGCTGCTATTTCTCTGTATCCCTTTGCTATAATAAGTCATAGATGGGGGCTGGGATTTAGCTCAGTGGCACAGTGCCTGCCTGGCAAGCGTGAAGTCATGAGTTTGATTCCTGGTACCGGAAAAAAACAAACAAATGAAAAACCAAAAAAAAAAAAGAAGTCGTAGATGTGCTGTAGCAGTTTTTCCTGAGCTCTGTAGTCTTCTTAGGCAATCATTGAGCCTGAGGATGCTATTGGGGACCTTGAAAACAGGGACACACAGAAGAGGAATGGATACAAGATGTCAGCTGAGACAACTCCCTACACCTCCCTCTGATGGAAGTTTTCATCATCTCTTACTTAAGGGATTGAAAGATCATCTAGATTGCATAATATGGAAAGTCAAACTAATTGTACATAACAAAGTTTTAGTTAACTGGATAAAAAAAAAATCATATGTGCTCTCCAGAGTACAGATTCAGGTTTTTTCTTTTTAATTTACCCTGTGAAGTCCTGAATTTAAGTCACCTCCAGTATGATGCCAGAACTTCTGAGCTGGACTGGTGTGTTTGGAAAAGTGTGTGCACCCTTGCCCGATTATCCAGTCACTGAATTTTTTTTTTTTTTTTTCCAGTCACTGAGTTTTTGCAAACATTATAGGAATCTCTTGAACATAGACATTAGGTTTCTATGACTTTGAAGCAGGTAGGGGAGTCCAACATCATTGCATTAATCCTGAGGCCTCTACCTTCAATACCTTACACAGATTCAAAGATTGAAAAAGGTGCAACTTTCAATTCATGGATGATCTAACTGGAGCTTGTGTGGATTATGTAAATGTAACCAAGCTGGGACAACTGCGAGGGTGATGAGTTGTTGCCTGAAGTCATTGCTAGGTCCTCACACCAACTTGCAGATATTCTCAAGGCATTTCTGCTTTAAGGCTGGAAGAACAAGAAGGAGGGACTCAGATGCTGAGATGGAAGCACTACAGGGACTTACCTTGAGCTCTGACTGCACCAGCAAACATTTAGTCTCTTCCAGAGGGCAAGAGAGGAACATGACGCTAGTCAGTGAATTACAGAGTAGAAAGGACTCCTGCAGGACCCCCTTGGTATTCAGCAAGTGAATGGAGGATGGAGCCACCCATATTTCTATATTCTTTACCTAGTGTTCTTTTCCCAACCCAGTTAAATCTAACTCATCTTCCCAGGTTGCAAGATGTTAATTTGAACTCATCGATGTATTACCCAGTAAATGTAATAGCTGTGTAATTAGAGATTTTAGGGTGGTAAGGACAAAGAGGAGCTACTGAATTATGTACTTGCAAATTGCCCTGTTCCCTCTCCCCATACCAAGTGAGAGGCTTTCTCTCTTTGGCTTCTGCACCCCTCACTCCCAATGCCTGGCTCTTGAAGTACATCATGAAGGTAATTGTAGAAAGAGGAGACAGAACATTTGAAAGGATGAATTTACATAACAAAAGAGGGACATAGCTGGGCAGGGTGGTGCCTGCCTATGATACCACCCCTCTGGCAAGCTGAGGCAGGAGGATCAAAAATTTGAGCTCAGCCTGGGCAACTTAGTGACCTGGTAAGACCCTGGTTCAAAATAAAAAATAAAAATGGCTGAGGACATAGCTCAGTGTGAAGGCCCTGAGTTCAATTCCCAGAGTCTTGGGGAGAAGAGAGTGGAATAAGTAGGGGACATGTATGGAACCAAAGAGAAGTGCCAGGCAGCTTGACTTTAAGAGTGTTAGAGTGCTAGGTTGGGAAATGAAGCTTAGAGAAAGAGAGGTTGTAAGAGAGTAGCTTGTGAGAAGTGAGGCTCATTCAGGGTAAGAGGGATGAGCACAGTGTCTGACAAGCGTTGGCGTGGACCCCACGAGTCCCATTTAATGTCCTTTAAGAACCATAAGGAAAGACTGAGTGGCTCAACTGGACTTTTTTGTTTATTTGTTAAAACTAACACATTACTAAGATGCGACCAGATGAGCATCCAGCTTATACTTGGGTTACATGAGAAGAGGATTTGCAAAGAGTTGACTGTGTCTGTGATTTTCAGAGTGCTAGAGCCCCTTGACCAGACAGCCCAAGTGGATGGCATGGTAAAACAGCCTCATTATTGGTTTAGGGACCAGCAGACAAGACAAGCCACTTCTGTTTGTAGGAGTAGGAGGAAAGACAAAGGTGATGCAGGGCATTTCTGTGGGTAAATGTGTCTTTGACACCATTGGGACGAGTCAGGGGGACCACTGACCTTATGTCTAGGACTTTGTGCTGCTTCTGGTCCCTGAATCATTAGTATACATTTCCCTGTGTCTGGGAATTTCAGTGTTGATGTGCTGTTTTGTCTTCCATTTTATTTGTTTGTCTTTGTAGCTTACCTGGAGGCTAAGGGGCTAAGAACCTTGTCTGAGTTCACACAGAGGGTAACCTTCTTGCAGTTGGCTGAAGAATCTGAAATTGCCTAGACCCTCTTTGTCTCTACTCAATGGTGACTAGACGGTCTATGGAACTCCTAAGATCCCTGCTAAGGCAGGACAGCCTCTCAGAGTCACGGAGCCTCCCTCCCCACAGGAGATGCATCCACTGTATTACAGCAGAGTCAAGATGGGCACTTACTGCGTGAGTGGGACACCCTCTTCACCTTCTGACAGATGAAGGTTGCATTCTTCAGAAACCAGGAATAGTATTCAAGACAGTACCTAAAGATTTAAGTCAGAGTTGGGAGCAATCACTGTCCTATGGGGCAACTCGGACACAGAATTTAAAAAGAAATTATATTAATGTGAAGGTACAGCCAGTTATCCACAGCAAAGACCTTCTGTTCATCTTTTTTTTTTTATTTTAAAGAGAAATAAAAATAAATATAACAATAAAACAGAGTTTCAAAACAGGCTAGTAGGACAGTGACAATAATTAGTACATTGAATATTATTGTCTACATAGTAGTTATTCAGGCATGAAATATTGTCCAAACAATATTAGCACAGACTTTTCTTTTCAATGAACTAAGAGAAACTAGCTGTATTACTATATTAACTATTTTATATATAGATTTTTTCTTTTTCCTTTCCTTCTTTTTCCTTTTCCTCCATCACAGTTTGTCCTTTTTCTTTTAAGAGAAGAAGAAAAATAAAAATAAAACAAAACAGTTTAAATCATGCTAATAAGAAAGCAACATTAATTAATACACTGTTCATTGTTATGTTGTGGGTTGTTTTTTTTACATAATAGAGCCATAAAGAAGGATATACTTGAGACTTTTATGGGTAAATGGATGCAACTTGAGAACATACTCATAAGTGAAATAAATCAGTCCCACATGTATAAGCATCATATTGTCTCCCTGGTATGAGAAACTGAAAGAGTAAATAAGGTCCAAAATGTACAATAGATATTGTGAATTGGGAAGAAATTGTTTAAAAGAAAGAGAAACTAATGGAGAAAAAGGGAAAGGAAGGAAGAGAGAAGTGAAAAATGTATACATGAGATAGTTAAGGTAGTTATAGAGCTAGCTTCTCTTAGTTCATTGAAAAGAAAGATTTGTGCTAATATTTTCTGGACATTATTACTTCATCCCTGTGTTCATCTTTATAGGGTGGAAGAGGAAAGGTTAGGAAGGAGGCTGGGTGGGAAAGAGCTCAGGCTTTGGGGCCAAGAAGACTTGCTTTTAGTCCTAGCTCCACTATTTATTAAGGTACGTGACTTTAGGCTGAGTGCTTAATTCTCTGGGCTTTAGTTTCTTCATATAGAAATGAAAGGCAATAATAAAACCAACACTCACAGCATGTTTGAGGATTAAATAAGATAAAATATGTTAGTTCTCAAACAGTACCCAGCACATAATGTAGTAGGTGCTCAATAAAAGACAGTGATTGCTTCTGTGGGAATTGGAGCATTGTCTTGCTTCTGGTCCAGGGCAATAGGAGCTGCTTTGATTGGCTACTGTAGAGATCCCTGATGTGTTATTAGGAAGAAAACTTCAGTGCAGGTTGTGTTGCTAGCTCACTGAATGACTGGGGATTTGCATCCCTTTCAATTCCTTTTAATATGAGGAGGTTGGGCTTAGCGAGCTCTAATTTCTCTTCCATCTCTCTCATTCTGTGATTCTAACATGCTCTAGGGGGTTGTGCAACTGACTGCCCAGATCTCCCAGATGCTGTTGTCCCCAATTTACAAGAAATTGTAGAACTGAGGAGACTGAGGCACAAAGATTAATGGATCTCTCCAAGGATGTGCTGCTTTCAAGTGCTAGTGCTGGATTTCAAGCACTAGCTAGCTTCTCTTAGTTTCATCTAGCTTCACCAGTATTTGAATCCAGAGCCTGACAAGAGGACAGACCCTAGCTGGCTCTGCAGAGGGCATTCGATGAGGAAGTCAGTCGTAAAAGGGCCAGCAGAGTGGAAAGAACAAAAGAAAGGTAAGGAAACCCAATGTCAGCAGCTATGCGGGGAGAGAAAAGAAATCTTGTGGCTGAGCACAGAAAGAAATTGCCTCTGGTGGCAGCTGGAATCACAGAGGAAAAAGAACCTTTCCTGGAAATACCGCCCAAAGCAGAAAGAGAGGGGGAGATAGCCCCAGTTCTTTCCCCTGTGCTCTAATCCTCTGCCAGTCTCTTCCACTGCATCAACTAACAGGAAGTGGGTTGGCCATGCACTCTGGGAAAGGCAGTTTCCAGGAGTCAACGGCTGCAATACAGAGCAGAGAGAGCAGAGCAGAAGACGCATCTGAGAGAGGAAGTGTATGATGAGCACAACCAGAGCTCGTTTTCCTGTGAACCAGGACCCCCATACTCAAGGTGACATTTCAAAAGCAGAAAAGACAGTGGGCGGAAGCCTGGTCAACTCAACAGCTGACATGGCCACTGGGCACATGGTTGCCACAGCTGCACATCAAGTGTGCCGGAGATGGGACTCATGATCGGCCATGGGAATGGAAAAGAGAGCAGGGTACACCAGTGACCACAGCAGAGTCTTCACCAGCAACTCTCAAGCATAGCTCTCCAGTGTGCTAGATGCATTGGGACAACTAGATATGTTGTTTCACTCCTTTTCATTGTCACACCACTGTCAGACTAGGCAAGGATGTTGGTGCCCTTCTCCATGAGTGGCACTCCTGAAGTTATATGACACATGGCCTGGAATGCAGGCAGGATTAGACCCACTTTTCAGAAAACTGAGCTTGAGGGAGGTTCAATGACTGGCCCAAGGCAACCAAGCTTATAAGTAGCGGAACCAAAATAAAACCTAGGCCTGCCTGGCTTCAAGCCTGCCCTCTATCCAGCACACTGAGCCACCTTACATGACCTAATCTCATTTCTCCTCAGCTAGTTTGACAATGTGCAGGGTGTGTTTTCTAACAATAACAGTTTCAGAATGTTTCTGACACACTGAGGATGTCAGGCTATCCCGAGGAATGGTGTGCTTCCGAAAATGATGTTGCTAAGTGGGGACATGTTATGCCAGCCGAGATCCCCCGTGAACCTTCACACTGTGAGCTCGGGACTCAACTGTCAACAACCTCAGAAACACAGCCCCCTCTGTCACAAGCTACAAAGCTGCTGATTTTGGCCTTAAGTCACTTTGGCGGAGTACATAGTTTGCAGGATTAAACAGGAATTTCCTGCCTCTCTTGTCAGGAGAAAAACTAAACATGGTGTGGTTCATCCCTAAACCCTCCAGCAGAGCATCCCCCGCAGGTACGCACAATGGGGTGAGTGAAGAGCAGATAAATAGCTCTGGGCACTTTCAATGAATCAAGTCCAGTTGTGCTAAGAACAACAACATGTACTTCCTTATACACTGGACACTCTCAGGGACGTCCTCATGCAGGGAAGCCTGGGAAGTCTTAGAGGAAAATCTGTTATGAAGGTGGTCTTTTTTTTTTTTTTTCATGCTCTTCAGGGCGGAAGCCAGCTGCAGTGGCAGGCACATGATGACCTGGACCTATATTGAAGCACCCACTATTATGCCAGGCTTTGCATCAGACTGGAGTCACCAAGCCACTGCAGAGTCATCAGCAGCCTGGACTCAGCAGGAGTCACAGACCTCTGACTATCACCTGAGACTCCAGGGCAGAATGCATCCTGGGCTCTGTCATCCCCAGGGATGGTGCTAAAGAACCTAAGCAGGAAAAGTTTTCAAGAAAGTACTATAAGAGAGAGTGACAGTTGGGGGAGTGGGGAAAGTTTAGGAAGTCATGGTTTAAGAATAGATAAAACAAAGGGCTGGATTTCGGGGTCCTGTATGTTTTATTGTTTCTGAGTGAGAGATGATGGAAAGTCTGACGGGAATTTATTTGCAAGGAGTAGCCCAGGTACAGTCAAATGTTCCACCCCTTAGCTATACCACGTGGTATCTCACTTGAGTAAGGCAAAGTGCAAAGAGATTACTAAGAATGGGTAGAAGGAAACAAGTGGGGGAGCTCTTGCAGATGGGAAGGGGTCCAAAAGACCAAGCACAAGGGATAAGGGGAAGGGGAATAAGTGGAATAAAAATATACCATGTACAGGAACCTAATAACCTCAATGAATGTAAATATTACATGCCATCAAGATGAACCAAGATTAATAATATCAGTGAGAATGAAAATGGGGAGAAGAGACTTAGAGCGGGAGGGAGGGAGAGAAAGGGATTAAAAAGAAGAAACAAGCTGTATTCGGTACATGTACCACTTCCCAAGACAACCCTAAACTGCATGTACAGCAGTCATGTACTAATAAAGAAGAAGTAACCCACGGTCTTGCAAGGATGAGGTTGATCTGAATGGGGATACACATCAGACGTAGGGGTCTACCCTTGTACCTACAGATGCATTGAACATCTCAGGGGGCATAAAATTCACTATGGTGTTTTCCCTCCTATCTTACACGTGCTTTTTCTTTTGGCTGGAGTTGACTCTCACATTTTCTGCCTGGAAAACTCCTATTCATCCCTCCCACCCTTTTATTTCTTCTGGGGTCTCTCAGCATGTGATTCAGGACTTGCTATCACAGTCACCATTGCTGGTTTGAAATACATCTCTATACTGCCACCTTCCCTTCAACATAGTGCTTGTTATTTTTATTTCAGCGGCCACCTTTTCAACAAACATTCTGAGTGACACCATTTTACCATGCTGGGATTCTCATCCTGTATTCAGTGTTTGTATGAGTTTATGGGGTGATTCACTATTTAGTGAAATTACCAGGAAAGGAACGGGCAGGCCAGGTGAACACATGCTTCCTTCCTATAAGTTTAAATTCAGAGCTTCTCTCTGCAAACTTCTGTCTTTTCCACTTATGAACTCAATCAGTATTTGGAAGATGGATGTTTTCAAATGTGATATTTTCCAAGAGGAATGTGACTTACAGGTTTTTGTTTGGGTGCATGACATGACTTGCTTACCACCAACTATATTTCACTTTGTGTTCATGACTCTCTCTTCTCCCTAACTTTGAAATCCTCAGTGTCTGAACCTACCTGTGATGTACTTCTTCATTCCTTGGCTGATGTGCAGTAGAGAATTAATACACATTTTTAACTTAAAGAGTGAAAGATCTAATAAAGTGAGCTGCTCCTAGATAATGCAGGAAATATTATTTTGAAGACTTCTTCTTCTTTAGGACTAGGCTTTGCTGTAGAGAAATGCCTCACCTTGCTTGCTCACTCCTTGGGCCTATGGATCTTTTTTATTACCTTCTTAGCATGGAGACAATCTTCACAGTCTAAGGGACTGAAGATCAAGATCAAAAATCAGGTGAGAGGACAGGTTGAAGCCTGGGAATAAGACACTGATGATGGACTTACGGAAGGATCTCATGAACAGACTTTGAAAATTATATTAAAGGTATGAGAACTGACCTCTATACCATAGGAACAGGAGTATTCATCTTTGGCATTTGGTTCTGAGTTTACAGCCAAGAATAAATCCCAGAAGACAGGATAGTGTATCAATATTGAAGGACAGGAAAGTGCCCATGTTTAGACCTTCTTAATAATGTCTGCTTTGTAATTTTATTTTTTACAAACATCTCATTTAACTGCCTGGTAACTGCTAGGGATTGGTGAGAAATCTGTAAGATACATACTTTGGCCATTCTCCCCTAGAGGATATCACCAGGCTGAGGTCATTGGAATTCAAGGACCATTCAGCGCCCTGGTTAGTAATGCTGCTTGCTACAATGCAACTCATTCTAACTCCACTCAGTTCAATCCATTTCACCACAACCCAAATCAACACAATTTAGTTTATCTCAACTCAACTTAACTCAACTCTACCCAGCTCAACACAGTTCATCTCAGTTCTAATCTGCTCATCTCAAACCCAGTTTAGCTCAAATTCAACTCAAACCCAGTTTAGCTCAAATGCACTTATTGGATTGGGCCTTGCACTTGGTTCTGGGAGCCCAGAAATGAATAAAGTCCCATTGTAGCTGTCCAGGAAGTGACAGTCCAGTATAAGACTCACTGGAGAGTCTACCACTTGAGGTAGCCCCCATCACCTGTTTGTGAATAGTGTGATACCTGGCTACCCTGGGGCCTGCAGAGATGCCACACAGGATAAGAAGTCTATAAGTGCTGGATGTGAAAAGAATAACTAGGCCAGGTTACCTCAGAGACTCTGCCGTAGGATTCCTCCTCTGGCCCCCACAGAGGCATTGCTGGAAAAAGCGACACAGCTCCATCAGGCATGGGTTGAACTTCTGGATGGCCAGGGTAATGGGAGCAGCTGTCATGGTCCCCTCTTTGAGGAGCAACTGAGGACACCCTAGGAGACATAAGCTCAAAGAAGTCAAATCAAGAGGAGTTCAGCAAGCATCTTCCCTTGGTTAGGGCCTGTGCAGGTCAAGATAGCCTTGCCTGTCCTCATTTGACTCTGAAACAGACACTAAACAGAGTGTGGCTTCATCTTTGCTATTTTGAGGGTTTCAAAAGACAGGCAGAGCATAGGTAGGGACTGGCTTCCTGGAGGAAATCGGAGATGGTTTCCCTGAGGAGCACATTTTAGACAAGAATCTAACAGGTTGAATAGAACTACAACAGGAGGAGGGTATTTCTGGCATAAGGGACAGAGTACATGATGACTCAGCATCACATAAGGGACGGCTTGCTAAGGCAAAGTGGAGAATGCTGAGTCTGATGGTATGGTGTGTGTGTGTGTGTGTGTGTGTGTGTGTACACATGTGCGTGAATTCAAGTATGTGCGTGGAAGAGGGAAAGAAAGGACAGGTGAAAGATGAAACTGACAAGCCAAGTCACAGGAGAACTGGACTCTGGATTTATTGAAGATTAGTTATATGTCAGTGAATCAGATTTTCACTGTTGCTGGAGATGGGAACGTCAGGAGAAAAAAGAAAATAATAAAAAACGATTTAAAAAAAATTCCATCTCTTTGGGGTCTCCCGAAGCTGGGACAGCTTCCTATGACAATATCCGTGCTTCCTTATGTGGAAAGTAAATAAACTCATCCTCATCATATAGGGTGATTGGGAAGATTGAGTGACTCAGTTTGCACAAAGCATACTGCATAGTTCTGGCCATGAGATGGTCAATGAATAGCTATTATTATTCTTTAATAAAAGTGTAAGGAGCATCCACTCTTCGCTAGGCCCTGCTAACAGACACTAGAGATGTAATAATGAGTTAGAAGGAAGACAGCCTTCCTCTCATAGTGCACACGTTCTAGTGACCTAAAGATTATATTAGGGCATTAATAATAATCAGACAGCCCAGGGGCACCATCACTGTAAGAAAATTCAACCAACTGTCGAAATAGGCAAAAAGGAATATTGGTGTCCTTTTAGTGCAGTTCTGATTATTTCTAGCAGATCCCTTATAGATTATCTGGTTATAAAGTGTGTGCGTCTTTGACTGACATGCTAAGCACAGAGTTTACAACTCTGAAAGGGTAGAGGTCAACGAATAGCCATTGTCCTTGTGTGAAAGCAACACAAATAGTTCCTGGCTATAGCAATATAAACAAAGTTTGTCTGACAAATGTACAATTGATAGAGCAATAAACTACAGGATATCAGTTAGTAAGCTGATTTTAGATTTCCTTTATAAATCCCTGCTCATCAAATTTTCTGTTTTACCAGTGTTAACATCTTCCTGACTTCATATTTAATTAATGAGTTGAATGATAACTTTGATATGTGGACATGTGTTCTCTCTATATATTCATGCCACTTTTACAGTTTAAAAATTATGATTTATCAGTAATATATTTATTAAGTGAGAAAGGAGCTCACAATGCTAGAGAAAGTCTTTACAAAAATATTTTACCATGGGCAGGGGATATAGCTCAGTGGCAGAAGCACCTGCCTGGCAAGCGCAAGGTTGTGAGTTCGGTTCCCGGTACCGGAGAAAAACCAAAAAAAAAAAAAAAAAAAAAAGAAACAACAAAAAAAATTTTACCCTGAGTCAAGTAGAATATCAAACCTTTCAGGACCCTGCCCCATTTCCATCAATGGGTCAAGGTGTTTTTCTCTAACGTTTATTGAGCAACCTGTTATGAATCAGGAACTTTCCTAAGCTCTTCATATGTATTATCTCATTGAATTTTTATAAAAACTTAAGATGTAGATATCTGAAGTACTATTTTAATAGAAGAAGGTGCTGAGGGCACAAGTGACTGCATTTGAATCACTTATACAGCAGGAAGTGAGTTTAACAAGCCCTAATGCTGGGGCCATGGTCCAACCACCATATCTCGCTGCATTAACATAGTAAACATTTCAAGACTTCATTTCCATTACTCTCTCCCCTAACCCTCCTTGCACTGTCCATCTCTCTCCAACCCAGGAATAATGCTCAGGAAATCCACTCAGTCTTTCCCACCTGGGCCTGATCTTTGGTTCCCTCTTGATATTCGCTCCACTGTCATGGTGTCCTCTGATTCAGTCTCCTAAACACTACCTAAGTCACCCTATCCACAGTCACCTTCTAGCTCCAGCCCATCCCCCTGGCTGTCCTCAGAACAAATACTTCCTCACCAATTTCCACTCTTTCAACCTCTCCCCTCTGCAGCCACAGAAATCTTCTGCAGCACAAACCCAGGCCCACAGCTGTCTGCTGCCTCTGAAGAGGCCGTGCTCTTTGAGACGTGACCAGCCTTGGTGATGCTACCCTTGCCAGCCTCCCCAGGCTCAAGCCACACAACTCTCACCTTCAGTCATCACAGTTCCAGCCAGAGAGGCCTTCATTGTCCCAGGAAGCATTGATGCTTCTGGGCCTCCATAGCTTTGCTTGAGTTAAGCCTCTGTGAGAGTGCATATTTGAAGGTAGGTTTGTTCTAAAGGCACTTTCCCAGGTAGACTCTGGAATGAGCCCTCTTACCAGAAACCTCCTTTCTCAATGCATATGTTTACATTTCATAAGAACCTTCACATTCTTCCTTTCACTGCATTTTTTTTTTTTTTTTTTTTTTGTGCCTAGGTCTTGTCTTGGGATAGGTAATATGGAAGGAAGAAATGAACACAGGTTTTAGGATTAGACACATCTGAGCTTAAAACTCTACCTGGACTGGTGATGGTAGACAGCTTGCTCCGTGTGCAAGAGGCCCTGGGTTCAATCTTCAGTACCATGAAATAACACAAAAATTCTTACTTAAATCTCTTTTTCTCTATGGGACTCATCAGAACTGCTTAATCAATATAATGTTATCTATTCTGTAGAATTATTGGATAGAGAAAGTAAAAATAATTCCACCACCGTGCCTGATCCACAGTGAGAACTCAGGAAATAGCCATTAAGGGGATGAATGAGTGGTGCAAAAGACTTTGTGCATGATCTTTCATGGATGAATAGAATAATTTACTTAAAGATAACAAACTATTTTACAATTGTATCTCTCATTAGATAGATGATAGATAAATGAATACAGATGGATACAGATGGAGGTAGCTAGATAGATAGCTATGGATAGAGATAAGACATATTTATGAGACAGATAATAGATCAGGGGTGAATGAGTAGGTGGATGGATAAATAGGTGGAGAAAGATATATAGAAACAGTTCCACACATGAACATATAGACAGATGTAGATATAGAGATAGAAATAGAGATGATATAGAGATAGAGATAGAGATAGAGATAGAGATAGAGATAGAGATAGAGACAGAGACAGAGATATGGTCAGCTTGTTTTTTAGAACTCAGTCAAACACCAGCCCTTGTGTGCACGGCCACTGTGCTTGCTCAGAACTCCTGGGGAAAGGACTATGATTTCCTCCGGCAGCATAATCATGTTTTTGTGTCTGAAAGGCCCATTCAGTGTTCATGACCTGCTCTGAGGGGCCAAGGAGGGAGATCTGAGGCGATAAGAACAAGCAGACTGTGCAGACTCCAGCAATTTAATAATATCTGCTGACATATGATCGAACAGTCTGGAACATTCAGGAAACTGGTATAAAAAGGCATCCAGCAGTGGGAGAAGCCCCGAGGACTCAACCAACTGTGAAGCATTCACTTTGTATCAAGTTCTTTCTTTCCATTTCTATTTCTTTCTTTCTTTCTTTCTTTCTTTCTTTCTTTCTTTCTTTCTTTCTTTCTTTCTTTCTTTCTTTCTTTCTTCTTTCTTTCTTTCTTTCTTTCTTTCTTTCTTTCTTTCTTTCTTTCTTTCTTTCTTTCTTTCTTTCTTCTTTCTTTTCTTTCTTTCTTTCTTCTTTCCTCTTTTCTTTTTCTTGCCTCCCTCCTCTCTCCTTCCTTCCTTTCTTTCTTTGTTTCTTTTCCATCCTTCCTTCCTTCCTTCCTTCTCTCTCTCTCTTTCTCTCTCTCTCTCTCTCTCTCTCTCCTGTCTTTTTGAGACAGGGTTTCATTTTGCATTTCAGGCTGGCCTTGTATTCACTTTGTAGCCCAAGCTGACCTGAAATTCACAGCAATCCTCCTGCCTTAGTGTCCTGAGTGCTGGGATTACAGGCATGCTCCACCACAGCTGGCTTGTATCAAGTTCTTTCTTATGGAAACTGGCCAGCAGAAAAGAGGACAGTGAGACATACAAGGAAGCTGGAGAAACAGCAAAACCCAAAGAAACTCAAGTTTCAGGGTATACTGAAAAATCAGCTATAGATCCAGTGTTTTTTCCTTAGAGCCATGAAACTTAAGCAGCCAGGGCTGGGGTAAGCAGAATGTTCCTTAAAAGAGAACCATAGTGAATCACACCTAACAAATGGGGCTTGGGGTTGGAGCTGCATTTTATTTCTGTCCTTCCTGCCAGCATTTCTGTCCTTCTTTGCTTATCCTAGTAGCAGCTGCCATATGCAAAGTGCCCAGGATCTGCTCCACAGATGCTCAACCAATAAAAGTTGACTAGATTAAATCACCCAGAGCCACACAGTCCCAAATCACTATAAACACATTATCTTACTTAATACAAAACCATGTGGAAATGAAAAAAAAAATACCAGATGATGCTAGTGCTCACATAATTGAAACTTCTTGCCTTATAGTTGTGGAAACTGACCAGTAAGTGGTCCAGCTGGGACTTGAATCCTAGCCATCTGACTCTAAGTTTATCAAGCAAATCTCTCTCTGTTACACTGCCCAATATTCTTTAAAATAAACTTGAGTGAAAGCCATGATGGGATGCAGCTACTCACTTGATCCTTGATGAGGAGCTGGGGCTGGGGCTACCTCTTTCCCAGGGGTGAACGGCCACTCTGCAAGGGCATCACCTGCACAGGCAAGAATAGCCTTCTACAAATCAAAATAAGATGACACAGCCAGAGCTTCACACCACCTTCAGAATAAATAGTTCTTGAAATCATAGCCAAAGGGAAGTGATTTATCTAAGTTAACAAGGCACTTTAGCAGCCCAGCAAGGCTTATAAACCAGTTCTGCCTCTTTTCCTGTGAGCATTAATAAGGTTACAGCTGGCTTCCTTTGTGCACTGGCACCCTGCCCCATTGTGTCCCTGTCCCCGTGCTGTGCATGTCCCCTGTGGTACTGGGTTGCTTTTTTCAGCAGTGTATTCTTACCTGTTTGCAGATTTTTGGGGGCTGGTGCCTTGGTTGGACTCAAAGTCTGTGTGCTGGAAGTGACTGTTCCTGAGATGAGAGCAGAGAAAGGTGAACCTACACCACTTCAAAAGGGCTGATCTGGAGACCATGCCTCATGCTGCCAGTCTTGTACCAACCCAACCAGTGGTGCTCATTAAACCAGGCATCAAGCAGGGAGCTAAGGATGCAGAAATAAGTAAGAAACAGAGCCCACAGTGGAGGTGCTCCAGGTATAGACAAGGGAGTAGACAATTCCATCAGTAACTAGGACAGTGTGATAAGTGTCACTGGGGCCCAGCTAATGTCAGTAAGATGCATGGGAGAGTGATGGTATTAAAGGGGTTGAACAGAAAGTGTGCAGGTTGGGGGCTTCTGGGCAAAGGGAAAATGGTAAGTTTCTCATACACCAGAGTCTTGGTATATACTCAGACCCCATCCCCCCAATAATTTGCCAATCAATTATTTTCATGGTAGAGCATGGGGTCCATTCAACAATATCTTAGAAAGTCATGTACACAAAGTCTTGGTTTAAGGATCCCATCCTTGGGGACAAGAGTCTGGCCTCTGGAAAAAACTAGTGAAGCAACCTTCCTGGAGGGAACAAGGGACAGAGAGAGGATTAAACAGGCACTTTCACTATGGTGGATACATGGAGAGGAGCGGGAGGCTGAGGAACAGCTCCAGCACAGTTGATGGGCCCCAACTTATCCAGGGAAGTGACCTCCACTGACACAAGGCCCACAGGGTAGGAAGAGAACAGACCTACTGAGCATGGAACTGGATGAGAAGGAGGTGGGTGGGAGGCTGAGAAGCAGGTGGAGCCCAGCCTGGGCTCCACCCCACATAGCTGTAAAACTCTCCTTACTTTTGAGCATCTGTAGGGTCTGCAATTTTGCAGCATTGGGCTCTACAGGGCTGCCACCCTGGTGGATCTCTGAGTTCATTTCAGGAATGAGCATGAGACCCATGTACACACAGCTAGTGGGGTGACAGGGCACATGTGTGATTTTTTTAATGTTGATCAGCACAAATTTCTTTACTTCTATATCTTTCTTTCTTTCTTTCTTTCTTTCTTTCTTTCTTTCTTTCTTCTCTCTCTCTTTCTTTCTTTCCCATTGTATTGGGGATTGAACTCAGGGCCTCTGCACTGAGCTATATCCTCAGTCTTATTTACTGTTTTATTTTTGAGACAGGGTCTTGCCAAGTCCCTACATTGCTCAGGTTAGCCTTGAATTTACAATCCTCCTGCCTCAACCTTCCTGAGTGCTGCAATTACAGGTGTGCACCCCTACATCTGGCCAGCATCTTCTTGTTATTTCCCTTTAGAATGTGGACTGTAGGTATTTTTAATACTTCCTGCCTGAATGTGTTTCTGTGCAGTTCTGAAACTGGGCCACCTTAGCCATACCCAAATACAGAGTTACTTGTCTCTGATTGCCATGAACAGGCTGACTAAATGGCTACAGCATCAAGGATTAGAAGGAAAGAGACCTCAGGCAAAAGCAGATACATGCTGTCCTCTGGAGGGTGTGTCTCCTAGGCCACACCGGCATCTGGGCATGTGCAGGCTAGTGGGAGGGGCCACTGACTAAGCTCTTCCTAGGTACTGTACACTGAGCTGAGCACCTTGCTGACATCGCCTGACTTAGCCACCACTGCAATTCTGACATCTCCCAGTTCACTGATGGGAAAACCAAGACTCAGGTAAAGGAAACTGCCTGTGTATGCTGAGTAGGCACACACACATTCATACATGTGCGAGTCACACTTGACAGTGCTTCCACCTTTGAGAGTTCAAGCTTTCCTCATTACGTGGTTATATACTATTTATTCATTTGTGTGTGTGTAGTACGTGGCATGTTACATTGCATGGACACAGTATATAAGTAATTAATGTATCCAAACGGCAGTTGACCTGTCTGGAGTGAACAATGCGGACTTCCACTGGTCACTACTTAATGGCCAGTGAAACAAGGAAAAGAAAAATCAGAAAGTGAGTTTACATAAAGAATGGAAGAGGTGGGAGATTCCTGTGAGGAAGGAATGTCCATTTATTTATCTATTTGTGCAAAAATGAGAAGAAAAGGGGGAAGAATAAAGAAAAGGAAGAGAAAATTTGCTGTATGATCATTAATTATATTGTTCCCTTGTATTCTTACATGTGTGTTATATTTCAGAATTTAGAAGTAATTTTAAAACAGACAGTGCAAGATTTAACTGGAGACAGGAGAAGTGAGCGTCCTCTCTTACCTGAGGTTGGGTTGTGCTGGGTTGTGCTGCTGGCCACACCCATTATCCCAGCAGGCCTCAGAAAGCTCCCTGTGCTCCTGGGCTCCTGGGCCTCTGCAGATGTGGGTGTGGAGGCATGAGTTTCCCAGGGAGGCCCCCCATGGGCTTGCTCTTCCGTGGTCTGAGCCCTAGGCATGGACGGCGTAGAAGCCTGAGTCTGGCTGTTGGCAGGCAACTGTGGTGTTTCAGGCACTCTCCTGGTAGCTGCATGTTGAAAGCCACAGTCGTTGATACACTCACTTGACAACTCTGATTCACATATAAAGTTGCAGAGCGGTGGAAATACTGCTAAGGGCAACTGCAACGCATGTGCATAACACTGGCAATCCGTGGGTTTAAACTTTACCCAGAACTGGATTAAATGATCAAGTGAACCTTGTTGCCTAGACACAAAACTTTGTAAAATCCTTCAAATCCCTTAGACATGCAGTCTAGTAGGGTATGTACATGGGCAAGCTAGACCTGTGTCAAATTTATGGTGGGCTGTGTGTCAAATTCATGAAAACTATTTCTAATCATGTGACATGGTGAAAAGATGGTGGGGTTTGAGGTGAAGCACCTGGAGACACAAGCTATGAACTTTGAGGCAAATTACCTCTTTTAGCTGTATCATTAAAATGGGGCTAATAAATATAGTAATTCCTTCCTTGCAACATCGCAGGAGTATCATCACTTAGGATAAATATTCCCTAATCGGCCTTTTAAAAAATTGCTAAATGGTCTCACGTGTTCATTCTCATGGTAGAAATTAAAATAGTTTTTTTCAGGTTTTACAGAACTAATCCCATTGGAGAATTTTACATCTAAGAGTTAAGATGGGAAAAAAATTGCCATCTTTAAATCGTTCATATTTTTCATTCAGAGCATGGTGCATCCATTCATGTATTTAAATATTCCTATATAGTAAATCTGACTTACGAACATTTGAGTTGCGAACTTTCACAGGTGTACTGTATAAGACTCACTTTGTCGGATACAAATGAGTCTGACTCACTTTCTCCCAGAAAAGAACTTGTTCATAAGTCGGGGGATTGCTGTCAAGCTCTTGTTAACATTTTATAGTTTCTCTTATATAAAATAGCACTTTTTCTTTTAAGGTTACAGCTATGCACTTTATGAATGTTCTTGTCTCTCACAATCATACTTTTTCCCATAGGATATGGGGAATTTTTCTAGTTTGGTATCGCTGTCATGATGCCAGCTGTTGTTAGAGCATTTTGTGGCAAATCTGAAAGTTTCCCAGCTACTGAAGCTGATTCCAGCTCCTCTCCCTCACACAATCATCCTGTTTCCTTGCCTGCCTGATGTCTATCAGTCCTCCCTCCTTTGAGTCTCCTGCTATGGTAAGTAGGGGCCCCCCACTGACTCCCCAAGTACAATAGATCTTCTGTGGCTGGGTCATGACCATAGTTATCTGCCTATGTCTTCTTTCTGCTCTGTGAGCTCAGGAAGGTCAGGAACATTTACAGAGCTGTGTGTCACCAGCTAGCCTAGTGGTAGAAGCAAATTTATGTTTTGATGAGTGAGCATGTGAATGACTGAATTCTAATGGCTCTGGTCCTTTACTGGGGCACACAATATTGACTCTGAATGAAAGAGATAACCCAGTTTTCTATTACTGTATTTCCAAATAGAAAATGAGAAGTTAGTTGTGCCTTTTGTGTGTGCAGAGGCAGCACTGCTGATCATACACAGCACGGTGGGGAGGAGGACCCTCTTGGTGACACACTGGTCATGCCTGTTTATGCTGAAGTCAAGTCACTAACACATTTTTGTCATCGCTATCCATCTAGCTACAAATGAACCTAACCGTGCTATAGGTATTGATTCCATTTCACCATTTCCTGTGAATTTCCAGTGGGGGTGTGTGTGGCTGACTGAAGGGGATCAGGAAACTCACAGTAATTTTTGCAATTTTCCATGAATCTTAAAATATTTCATTATAAAAGCTCTAAACATAAATGCTAGAATTACATTATGCCGATCACATTTATGCTTTTGTTTACTTACTGAGCCCATATTGCTCCCAGAGATCTGTTATTTATTTATTTTTTTTATTTTTTATTTTTTTTGGTTTTTCTCCGGTACTAGGAACCGAACTCACGACCTTGCGCTTGCCAGGCGGGCGCTTTTGCCGCTGAGCTAAATCCCTAGCCCCGAGATCTATTATTTAAAGAGAGCTGTGGCACAGCTTCAGGTGGTAGGGAGGAACAAAGGGACTCACTCATTTATGTGAGTGCCTGGAGGGAACAGAAGAGAGACAGCCAAGGGAGGAGATGGTGAGGCAGTGTCTTACCCAAGGCTGGCAGGGTGAGAGAAGAAGTGCTCCAGGTGACTGTGGCCATAGGAGGAAGCTGGTCCGTGTGCCCTGTCAGCTCTCCCACTGAAACAGTAGTTGTCTTTCTCCAGAGGGCGGTTCTCAGAGTGGATTCCCGGTGTGCCGGGCTTGTCCTTGGTAGCATTTGCTGGACTTGGGTTATGGGCTTGGAAGTCCTGGCAGTTTCCCTGGTAGCTGCACCTGCGGGAAGATGGCTAGTGGCAGCTTTGGGTGCTGCACCACCTTGGACACTAAGAGCTGCTGAGTCACCAGAACACTGTTGGACAGCCAGTGCATAGAATGCAGAGATCCCAACCTCGCTTTGAGCAGTACCAAAAGTCACCCAAACACCCGTTGGTTCTTGAATAACCAATGAAGCTAAAATGTCAGTCTCCAAAAATGCTATATGATGAATCATTGTGAATAGAAGGTAGTGTTGCTGGGCCTAGAAAGTACTACACTTTTATTGTGTGTCCTGGTCAGAGCCTGAACACTGTCGGCATCTTTCAGCCACTTCACAGCTCTCTCTGTTCACAGCCCTCTGTTCACAGCCTCTGGCCACCTATGGCTCCAGTCCTTGTCTCTAGAAGAGGAATTGAGACAGTTCTACATGCTCTGAAGGTACAATAGAATGCAGAGGTAGAATTTGGGGGAATCACGGCAGACAATACTTGAAAGATGGGCCCCATAAAGACAGAAGAGTATGATTTTAATATGTAGGAACAGCAATTTTACATTAAGTTCATCACATCACCACTTTTGCTTTTTAACAGCCATCAGACATGATAACAAATACATATGATTTTCATTTAGAAATATAATAAGACTGACCCTGCTATATCATACCAAACAAATATGTCTGTGCCACCCATGGTTTATTGTCAATCTTTAGTGAGTACTTGGATTGGGATAAAGAGCTTGAACTATGCATTTTTTGTTAATGACTAAATAAAAATGTTAGTGAAAAGACAGAAGAGTAGATTTTAGAGAGAAATACAACCAGATGCTACTGTTTGTTTTATGAAGAAAAGAGGGAAGTTCAGATGTTACTTTTACCCTGGCCCTTCCCCAGGGACAGCTGAAGTGGAGGTGGGGTGAGGAACATGGAGATGAGGATGATAGGTTTCCCCTAACCTGGAGAATCCCATCCTCTTGGTGGACAAAGACTGGCCTGTAGCTTACACTGGAAGTGCATCCCTGATTATCCTTTAGCAGAGACAAGGATGATCTATGCAACTACAGGAGTTGGTGTGCACCTAGGTAGTGTCCATAGCTCAGTGCCTCTCTCCTGCTTTATTTTTGGGCTACTGGCACTCATGGGTCTTTACCTAGCTCCCAGACTAGTTGATGTAAGGCTAAATGTGTCCCAAACTGTCACCCATCCAGATGATTAATAGTGTCAATTTGTAATTGCATTCTCCCTTCCCAAGCATTTGTCCTGATTAAAGAAGCACCAAAGAGAAGACAGAATTGAAATTAGGTGTGGGAAGGTCATAGAGAGACTTTCTCAGTGAGATTGACTCAACCTCAGATCTGTCTTCAGAACTGGCAGAAAGGGCAGTTGCACTATGTACCCATTTAATCTTCTCAGTCAGCCTTGTCTCATATAAAAAGAGGTTCCTTTCACAGCACAACCAAGAGATGTCCTATGATAAACAAAAATCAAAATGGCACACTGAAAAGGAACCTGGCATTCACTCTGTTCCTCATTTCACTCTGAGAGGTGTCAATAAAGAGCCTACTATGTACAAGGGATGGTGTGAGGCATCAAGGGGGAGCCACGCTGTGGTCCCAAAGGAGACTCTATCTCCATCTCCAAGTACCACTCATTGAGGAGACTCATATAAATGCTGCTGTGATACAAACTGGAGTAAGACAGCACAAAAATGTAGTACAGCTGCTGTGTTTTGGAGGAGAGTGCACAGAAGACAGATTTTGATTGGGAGAACTTCAAGAAAGAGAAGATGTTATTTGACGTGGCAGCTGACAGCAAATAGTGTTCTGATGCATGGAAACTTAAGAAGAAGCTCCAGACACTGATAATTGCATGAACAAAGTCACATGGGGCACGGAGATGTTTGCCATCTGCGAGAAGGGTAGGGATATCAATGTAGACATAGCGAAGAACTCAAGGGAAAAGGAGCAAGGACCTAAGGGGCTTGTGGACTCAAAGGCAGAGAAAGGTGTACTCCAGGCTAAGGACTTTGACCCTCTGCTGCTGATTTGGAGGTTCTGGACAGTGACGAGACATAACCCAGGTGACATCTGAAGATGATAGTGTTTGTGGCAATGTGTGGATATTTTAGAGAAATAGGAGAACATGAGAAAAGGCATTGACTCAGAGGATGGTATAGTTTAAGGTAAGTAATAAAGGACTTGACCAAGATCCTCACAGCCAAATAACAGCCAGACTCCAAAACTTTATTCAGTTAAAATGTCAGCTAAGGGAGCGGAGCAAGAGGACTTGAAGGTGGATCTTGAAATACTACACAGTGACAGAGAAAAGACAGGAAGATGGGCAGGTATAAATGGGGGGTAGGTAGAGGATGATTGAATAGATGCTGGCTATTGCAGAGTGGCAGTGCCTCTAAAACAGTGTAAAAAATTCAGCATATGCAGGAGACAAATAGTATAAGAAAACATAGTTGTACTACTGACTTTTATTATTCTATTGAAAGGAACAATTAATGTTTAAGTGTTTGATCAATCTTACATATCTATATGTGTTTATCTGAGTATCCTATTTGAAGATATCAATATGTCATACAACAACCACTGTGAATTTCCTATTACCTTGTCTGAAATTCTGTATTGCTTGCATTGTTTTGTGTTATTTTCTAAATGTATGTGTGTTTGTTAATATGTTCTCGCTCTTTTATCTTCAAAATAAAAAAAAGAAAACAATATACAAGGAGATAGGGGACAGAGAGGACTATGGAAAATTGGATAAAGATGTCCCTCTTAATTGGAGAAAGGGACATAAAAGTTATTTAGCTCCAGTTGCTTGTTGCCATAGAGAAGAGGACTCAGGGTGGCCATTTCTTTTGCAAGAAACTCCAGAAATTCATTTTTTAAAAAATGGTGAAATCCCATGATTTCTAACACAGTATAACTAAATCCACTTAAAATCCCTGAAGGCTACAGTGGGACTTGGGAGGTTTGCACTCACCCAGAACGCCAGACACGCCGCTAGTAAATGTGTAGTTGACGACAGGGGATTTCTCTGCCACCTCCCAGAAGTCAGAAAGATTCCTTCCTGCAAAAATCACACTCACAGGATGGGTTGTTGTGTTCATGTGCTGAATGGTCATCCCGAGCACTGGGCGAGGATGCTACGGCTCACCTGCCTTCCCGGCCATCACGCAGATGAAGATGCAGTCGGATTCATCTGTCTGAGTCACTGTGGGAAGAACCAGGACACAATGGGACTTAGCAATGAGGCTAAAGCTGTAAATCTTTGGCTGAAATGAAAACAAAGCTGGAAGTTCCTAGGTCAGGCTTACACAGGAAAACAAGGCCAACTCCTTCCTCTGGAGGCAGCTCTGAGTTTCTGATTTCTTTTTTTGAATTTGTTTGGCAGGGTGAAGGAAGAGGGAGACGGTGCAATATAATGTAGTGGCTAAGAGCATAGCCTCTGGGGTCAGGTTCTGGGGTCACAGCATTGACTCTACCACTTACTAGCTATGCACCACACAAACGAGTGAGTTGTCTGATTTCTCTAGGACTCTGTTTACCCATCTTTAAAATGGTCAAAATTTAAATCCCATAATCTCTTATTTGCAATTCCCAAATTCCCAGACCTTTGTAACTGGAAAGTTTATGAGTTTCGTACCACCATTCATTTGGCAGCAAAATCTGACTTGCCAGACATGAGGCTAATAAAGTCTTCATTCCACTTAGAGGGTCAGTCATTTTGCTAGATGAATGGTGGTATGTTTTGTTACAGCAGACTTCCCCGGATAGTGCTGGAGTGGTCATATCAATATGGTGCAGACAATCTAGTAGACTTTTAAAAAACTGAACACTTCGGAATTCCTAAACAGACTTGTCACTGAGGATGCTGCTAAACAGGCTGTGAACATATAATTGCAGTTTTCTCACAGGATGACTGTGAGAGTCCAGTGAGATATTATGTGTGAAATGCTGACAGATGGGAGGGCATGGTGCATGGTCATAATAGCAATTGCTGTTATTGTTCATGTGATGCTATTAGTGTAATGACCAAAGCATGGGATGAGAGCCAGATTGCTTGGGTTAGAATTCTGTCTCTGCCGAGTAATCTTAGGCAAATCACTTACTTTTTTGTGCCATGGTTTTCTCACCTGTAAAGTGGAAATAAACACAGTAGCTACCCTCCAAGATTGTGGTAGGCATCTAATGTGGGAACGCATAGGAAGCCCTTAGGAGAAGCCCTGAAACCTGATCATATTTCTTGTGGTTTTTCTCTCCCTTACTCTAGCTTATGCACATACAACTGTTCCATAGTATAAAACATCATCTTTCTGCTGAGATCAACTGTTGGGCTGTTGTCTATATCTGTGCTTTTCAAAGGGGGTCCCTGTGGATGAGTGACTCACCTTGGACTTTCCAGAAGTCCCTTATAAACAAGGTGAATCATTTAAAATTGTACTTCAAAGAGACATTTAGGTTCCATAGAGATCTGAACAAAATGATTATCTTCCTTGGATCTTATTTTCCTTATCTTTCAAGGGGGAATCCAGTTCTCCACCAGAAGCTGTTTCCTCGAGTCTGCCTTGATTCTCCTAACTCTAGTGTTGGATTTGCCCTCCAATTTTTGGTATCCCAGGAAGCTCTGATCAAAAAATGGTGCCTTCAAGTACTATATTAGAAAATAGAGTACCTTGGCCCCTTGTCTAAGTAGAGCATACATAACAGGTCCTGGCAGCCTGACCTGCCTAGTGCTGAATGGGGAAACCAACCCTGCTTGACTTTATTCCATGGAGAGCCTCCAGTTAGCTTACCTGAGAGGAGGGAGGTGGATTTGAAAACCTCTGTGAGGGAGCCAGTGGAGTTCCCCACAACGTCTACCAGGAGGGCTGTGAAATCTGCACAACAGATGGGGGACATCTTGATTTCTGATTCAGAGACTGAGGGGAAAGTGTTGCATTTGTATTTTCCGCAATAGTTTTTACAAGTCTGATTTTGTTCAATGTATTGAGTAACATTAATAATCATATCAAGAACACCTAGTAATTCTGAAACAAAAATAAAAGGTCAGTTTCAGGCAGGCATGAAACTTTGGGATCCACTGTTATCATTCTTTTTCTTTTATTGCTTTCTCACTATTTCCTTTCTCTAACACCACAGAGCTACAAAAGGCTGCATTGTTGAATAATGGTTTTTCTCCATCACTTCATCTGTTTGTGTCAGAATACCTGATCCACATAATAGGAAACAGACCCACATATATGTAAATATAAATATTGGAATTTTAAAATGCAATATCAAATTTAGTCATCAGTTATACACTACAAACTATCAAAAGGAATAGACCCTTTATAATATCATCAGGAACTTCTTGTTCTACCCACTTTGTTAAGAGGGATTATAGAAAAGTCTGGGAAATTTTTGTAACATTTCAGGTTGCAGAATGTTTGAGAACTTTCTCTCTGGACAAGGTTTGGCTAGTACCACTGTCCAACATGGTGGGCACCATTGACCATTAGCCAGGAAAAATTCCTAATCTACTTTTAGTCAAACAGTTGCTACCTCCTTCTCTACTCTTTTATGACTTTCTAGGACCCAACACATTCTTGTCTTTCAAACCAAGGAAGATATTATTTTAGGTGCCTCATATAGTGATTTTTAAGAGGTTCACTGCATAATTTCTCATCATGCCTTGTACAAGTACATATGATTCATTTACTAGTTGATAGGATTATGAGTTTGTGTTTGAATGAGCTGACTTGAAAACACAGAACCTAGATAGACAGGGAGGTCATACGACAATCAGTGGTTTGTGTAGCCACATGATTAATAGACAGTAGACATTACTGTGTGTGAGCCAGAACCCTGATGTGATTTTATGACATCTGCAGAGACATATGCTAATCACCTGGAGGTGCAGGTGCAAACACCTGTCCATGTGGAAGGTTGAAAAATGTGGGCATTGTCCTTTCTGTGTCACATGGGTGAAACTGAGGTGAAGTAGTACTGTATATCATCACTTCTCCTATCTATATTTTCTGTTTTTCAATAGAAATAGAAAAGTCAGGGAAATTTTTGTAACATTTCAGGTTGCAGAATGTTTGAGAACTCTCTCTCTGGACAAGGTTTGACTAGTACCACTGTCCAACATTGTGGGCACCATTGACCATTAGCCAGGTCAATGGTTTTCTTTTTTTTATTAATTAATATATTTAATAAATATTCATGGGATGTTTGCAGAATCCTAAATACCTGCTAGGTACTGGAGAGCTTGGTAAAACACACAGAAGATGCTATAGTTACTGATAAACAAAGATTCATAAGCAGGTAAGTGAATCCACTATTAAATTTTTTTGCACAAAAGCTATGAGCAAGGCATGGGAGGCAGACATCAACGATGGGGCCAGATTTTGACCATGATCAGAGGGAAGGGGACCTGTCCAAGGTGCTATAATATGTGGCAGAACTGGGATGTGAGCTGAGGTTTGCCTTGGGTCAAAGCATCCCTCCTCCTGCTTTAGGATGCTTGTAGAAGGCCAGCCTATCTTCTAAAATGCATTGCTGTATGTAAAGGATAGAGGGGTAGGTAGTTGGAGTGGACAGGAAGGTTGGAGAGGTAGGTTTTAACAGTAAGAATGAATGGGTTAGATAGGTAGTTTAGACACTCCTGCATAATGTTCATCAAACATAAGGAGTGGACATTGGAACTTATGGATGTTGGAACATAAGGTATTTTGATTTCTTGGTTATGCTTGCTCATATTGCATAGCCTTTTGATGACATAGTACATTGTTTTGTTTTTAAACTTAAGAAAGTTTAAACCACTTAATTTAAAGGAAAAAGAAGAATATATGTAAATATATATTCCTGGAAGGTGGTATGTTAGAATTGAGAATATTCAAAAGAAAATGATCTAAATCTGAAGATTATCCATGAAGACATCTTCCTCAGTGGTTTTGAGTAATGGTCAAATGTACAGGATCTCACCATAAAAGTTTAAGGGGGCACCAACAGCAAGGGTGTTGCTTCCTGTTAAATTGTGGGACCATCGCTGTGGCTTACCAAAGGCATGGTAAGCTATCTCACCTGTGGACAGTGGTCTATAGGATGAATTCTTTTCAAATAGTTGTTTAAATAATGTAGAAATATGTCCTGCCTTATGGAATAGAAGATATATATTCCCTAGGTAGATGTAATTTTTTAAATTTTATTTTTGTCTTTTACATATTGGGGAAGGGATTCACCCGGCACAAAGCTTGACCTTTAACAGGAGTTAATGAGATGGTGAGAAAAATGTGAATATGAAGATTTTTCTTCCTCTCAAATGTATTTTGCTGATAAGATTTGCAGGGTGCCTTTAATAAGGTAATAGATATCAAGTACTCAGTTTGGTAAATAGTATTTATATTATTGTAAATATTGGTAATTTTTATCTTTAAACTTTTCAGTGTTTGTTTCAGAAATTCCACATTGGGGAATTTATCTGTATAAAAGCATCTGAAACAAGGAGAAGTTTTATATACAAAGATGTATAGGATTATTTATATTATAAACAATCTAGAATCTACTCAGAAGCATGACAGCAGCATGCTATGAAAATGCTTGCACTCATAGATTACATACCCATTACAAATACTTATGAAGAGCTTATAATGCCATGGAAAAGGTTTTAATATTTGGTTAGTGTTATAGTTTGTGTCTGGATGTTCCCCTAAAGCCTCACAAAGTCATGGGGCGGGCTTCTAGAGTTGATGATTGATTCATGGTCCAATATTGGGATTATGGGTGCGAGTGCTATACCCGCCCTGGGGTGGGTAGTTTGCATACAGTGTAAGGGAGGGAAAGAGGCTGCTTGCTGCCCCACTTTTGCTCTTGCTGCTTTTGCTGTCTTCTGCCACCATGAACTGTTGCCCTCTGCCATGTGTCACCCTGCTTTGGAGCCAGCCCAGTAGGAACTGAAACCTCTACAAACTATGAGCTAAATAAAACTTTCCTTCCTTAACTCTGGGTGTCGGGTGTTTTGTCTCAGCAATGAGAGAAAAGTAACTAAGACAGTTAACTAGGGAAAAAAAACCCCTGGAGGCTCTGGCTGCATTTCACCCTTGCTTCCTTTACAATCTCCTCTTTATAAGCCATCAGAGGAATACTTTTATGCATGTAGTTGAAATCTTGTTGCTCCTCTGTTCAAATAATCACTACAGCTTCCTTGTTAGAGTGAAAATTAAAATATTTGCCACGGACCATAAACTTGTATATGATCTGGACTATAAACTGCCCACCCTGCCCTCACTTCATTTCATTTCTCATGATTCTGCCTCAGCTCATCTGCTCCAGCCACATTGGTCTCTTCCGTCCTCTCACTGTGCTGTGTAGACCTTTGCCTGGGCCCCTGTTCCAGGAACCACAGTGGTGGCCCCTGCTTGCTGAAGTTAACCCTTCATTTCATTAGAGATGAAGCATCTCTCAACTCAGGGAAGCATTCTTCACTCTCATATTTCTTTTTCCCCTTCCTCCTGCTTTTTGCTCATGGTCAAGTGATTAGTCCCTGTGTATTTGCAGTTTACTTTTTGACTTTCCATCTCCTCCTCCAGAATCTCAGTTCCATGCCATCAAGAATGTGTCTGAGTTGCTCAGAGCAAGATCCCGTATGTGCTCAGTGAAGAGTTGGTGGATGGATGAATTCATGGTTAGAAAGTAATTTTTATTTCTACTTTTAAGGGTGCTCCATATATAAGGAACATGTGATACCTTAAATTTAAATTATACCAGTAACACATGAATTCACTCTTACTGAAAACAAAATTCCTGATACACAAGTCCTCTCTAATCCACAGTCTTCCAATCAAAAATATGGACTCCAGGGGCTGGGGATTTAGCTCAGCGGCAAAGCGCCTGCCTGGCAAGCGCAAGGTCGTGAGTTCGGTTCCCGGTACCGGAGAAAAAAAAAAAAAAAAAAAAAAAAAAATATGGACTCCATTTTTCCCACAGTCAAAATACTACAGAAGGTAAACATTTCAAATTGATTCAGGACATCAAGGCAGCCATTACACCACAACTAAAGATATTCATGAAAGAGGACTTCCCAAACTGCTTCAGAAAGAGGCAATATTGTGGCATAAGTATATTCAAAGCAAGGGGGAGTGTTCTGAGGAGGAATTAATGTCAACATGTCTTTTACTTAAAATTTTTCTAAAAATTTAAACATTCACTGTATATTTTGGTCAGTTCTCACTTAGTAGACTGTTTCCCTCCGGGCAGATATTTAGCTTGTTCCTGACTGTATAATGAAAAAATGCTGTACGAACATTTTTTTCTTTTCTTTTGTGCACCGACAACTATTTCTCTATGATAAAACTAAGAAAAGAAACTTTCTGGGACAATGAATGTACACACAGTTAACCATAGCAGCCACCACTGTATTGTCCTACCTTTCTATGAAAACCAAGAACATATATAAAAGGGCACAAGGTGAGTTGGAAACAATGCAAGGCTCATGACTGGCTGCACTCACCTGATAGGTCATTGGTCCGATTACTGAGACAATAGCAGAACCTTGTGGGGAATTTGGCTGGGTCCACTGTCTTCAGGTTAGAAACTGTGAAGAAAGAGGGATTTGCACAGAGATCCTGATACCTAAATTGTTCTGCAGCCCCTTTCCCACCACTGTAAGGATGAGGAAAAGACAACCCTACTCACTGTTGTAGATGGCCAGGGAAACCTTGTGGAAGGCAAAGGAGCTATAGGAGGTGATACTCAGCAGGGAGAAGAACCGCCTGCTATCTGTCCAAAGACAGGGAGGAAAGGAAATAAATATCAAATGCCTGTAATGAAGCAGCAAAGAAATGCTATTACAACCAAGCAAATTAGCTGGTAATTGAAATTAACAGTATCATAAGAAGTGACAAAAGTAAACACTAAAATTACAAAGGTTAAAAATAAGAAAAATAAAACCCAACCAAAATAAGAAACACAAAAGCAAACCAAACCCAAACAGAATGCCTCACTTGGCCAGATGTTCCATCCAGAAGCTCTGGCAACTTACTAAATAAGAAGGTGTCTTAGTTTCCTAGGTGTCTTAGGCTCCTGAGCTGCTGTAACAAATCTCCACCAAGTTGGTGGCTCAAACAATAGAAACTCAGGCTGTCACAGTTTTGTAGGCTGGTGGGAATGCTAATCCAGGAAGGTGGGTATGTCAGGATCCTGAATTATAATGAAAGTTTCTAGTAATATATTTTTTTTTTGTTTTGTTTTTTGGTTTTTCTCTGGTACTAGGAACCGAACTCACGACCTTGCGCTTGCCAGGTAGGCGCTTTTGCCGCTGAGCTAAATCCCCAGACCCTCTAGTAATATTTTTTTGTTTAGATAAGTTTGTACCACATGGAGACAGGGGCTACAGTGGCTAAACCTTTGGGTTTTGGTGCCTACAAGTCACCCATGGAGCCCACTCTGCCTCAGCTTTCTGCGAATAGCTTCACAGAGACCTTGAGGCCATCCACCGGGTAGAGCCCCGGCTCTGATTCCTAAACTCTTTGGGAGAATGGTGAATGCACCAAAGCTTGAATACCCACTACTCAGTCTCTTCGTGTTTCTCATGTCATAAGTGTCATCATTGCCACTTGGTAAAAATGCACATTTGGGCCCCAGCTAAGACCAATTGAACCAGAATCTCCAGGGCAGGGACCTGGGGGCTGTGCTATGTATTAAGTGTTCCCAGTGTTTCTTACCATGCAGCAGTTTTGGAAAGCTTTGGGCTAAATCATGAGCTTGGGTTAAACTGACCTGTCCAATCTGAATGGCAATGGGAATGCTTCATTTTCTGCACCTGAGAAGTGGGGCTGGTGGTGCCATCTCATGGGGACATTCTAGGATTAAATAAGGTCATAAAGAGTTTGTGCTCCTTGAAGGTATGAGCCATAACTTTGGAGTCTCTGCCCCATTCTGCTGCAGAGCTTTGAAGAAGACAGGACAAGGTTAACAGGAGTGCTGGAGCACTACCAGGATGCCTGACGATCCAGTCCTCCCCAGTCCTCACAGTAACTAGATCACTCCCAGCATGCCGCATGCCTCCCAAGGTGGCTCCCATGATGGCAGCTTTCCTGTGAGCAATGAGAGCAGGGCTTGTATCTCTGAGACTATATCTCCAAGCATTGAGATAGAGAGGGGCTAAGTGAACAGGTATAAAGCCACCATGCATTGATGTACAGTTTGTGTATTGCACAATGCTAGGAAATGCCATTCATATAAACCTTAGTGGTGAATCAGCATTCTCCATCCTTTTATTTTGCATAGTACTTATCATTTTCGCCTTATTATGTTTATTGCTTTTTGTTACCTTTCTACATACTAGAATTTGAGATTCCCCCAGGGCAGGGACTTCTGTCAGGTCTATTCTCTGTTTTACTCTCATGCCAAAATAATGCCTGGCACATGATAAATATTTACTGGAGAAAGTTGGATATAAATAATGTAGGAAATAAGGGATCTACACTGGGAATTCTTTCTGCTTTGCTGTTATTTTGGAAAAATCTAATTCTAGACATTTACCTTTTTGACTTTGTTAGAATGTATTCACAAACTCAAATTCATTATTTGCTACAAGAAAATATTTTACTTGAGACACTAAAAGAACATAGAGCAACTTTCTAAATAAGAACTTAGGCTGGTATTGTAAACACTTGGTTGGACTCCATTCTTCACAAAGAGAGAAATTCAAGATCATTGTAAATTACTGAATAATTATTCTTAGTTTATGTCAACAGATTTGCGATTACTTCTCTGCTCATAGAGCATGTTTAGAGTGTGGTTTGCTTTGGGGATGCTCCTAGATCTCCTTCTTCATCCTAATGCTTTTAGTCTCATTGGGGGTTAAGTAGGATAGTGTACTCTCCACCTTCAGCTCCAGGAGAATGAGACACAGAGGAGAGACTCATCTTGCCCAGGTCACAGACAGGCCCAGCAGAGAGGTTGGCACAGGAAAAGAATAGGTCTGTATGATATAGCAGGTGGTTACCTTTCAAAGCTCTGCTCAGCATCCTGTTGACAACCTCTGTCAGGTTAAGTGCAGACAGATCGACAGACTTTGCAGGCAACTCTGAAAGAGATCCAAGGACAGGGTTGGTAGTAGGCTTTTCACAGCAGCAGAGAGTTTCTCATTTCCACACTCCCGGCAGATAAACTTCCTCTTTGGCCATGTGCAGAACACATACCAAATGTCAGGCACAAGAACTCTAAGACAAGAGGCAGTTCCTGTCAGTATCTCAGGAGGTAACATGCAAGGACATGCAGAGTGACAAAGATAGCATTCATTTCAGAGACTGCTTTATTTCTGCATTTGGGGAGAATGGAGACTGGTTGATAAGAAGCCACAAGACATCGCAAGGGTTCTCCACAGCTCTGAAAGTAGAAACAAGTACCCTGGCTGTGCATTGATGTCCCCTGGGAAGAGTTTCTAAAAATTCCACAGTTTCAGTGCTTGGGCTCCATTCTCTCAGAGATCAGGTTTAGCAAGCCTGGACTATTGACCCAAACATCAGTTTGGAAAATCAGAATCTCCCCAGGCACTGGTCTAGTGCAGCCTTGCGTGGAGACACTGTTGGGTGAAGACACCCTCTCTCCCAGCTACTCCTGGAAGAGCTAGAAACAACAGATGACCAGCTGCAAATGACAGCTGGTCCTCCTCTCTATATTTTTACAAGCATTTTTAAACTTTTGCTTTTATTCAAATAATTTGATTGATGTTGTCATACCCACTGGGAGGCTTGGGAATGGATGCCCAGGACAATAGGAGAATTCGATTAGTAACCCATCCCCTGTGGTGAGGGCAGATGCCAAACCAGAGACTTACCTGTGGAAGCAAGAAATGCCAGTCCCTCCCCCTTCCATTCTTCTTTAAGGACAGACCCTGGGGAGGGAGAAGTTTCCATAAGGGAAATGCAAGTCCTCATCTGAGCTCTGGGAGCTGAGAAAGCTTTGGAGGTGCTGAGGCTTTGCAGTTCAGGATCACTGGGGGTGCTAAGGAAGGCAGGTCCCAGGATCCTCCTGAGCTCAGGCCTCACTTCCAGATTCCTTTCTCCTTGGACTGGGTGTACCCTAGATGCCCACACTATAATAGCTATGAAAGCTATTATCTAATCTAGCTCTAATCTACCCAACTCCTTGCCTTGGCTGGGAAACAGAGGCTCAGACCAAAGGAGCAATTCATGTAACTTTGTTCAACTCTGTCGTGGTAACCATGGGCTCAGAACCTGCATCTTAGAACTACAGAGAAATGGCGCTTCCAGATACTCAAGCCCCTCATCTACAATAGTTGGCAAATTTTAAGCTATCAAATGAGAAAGTGCCAAAGGCAATTTTAAACTATCAAAAGTACTACATTCATTCATAAATCTGTCCATCCATCCATCCATCCATCCATCCATCCATCCATCCATCCATCCATCCACTCAACAGATACTCCCTGAGGGCCTAGGAGTATGCTGGGAGTTGGGTGTGAAATGACCTAGTCTCCACACAGAGCTTCTTATCTTGTGACTTCGGCAGGAGGATATTCTTGGAGAATGACAGGTGAAGAGAATCATCATTGAGAAGATCAGGCGATGTGAGTGCTTGTACCAGGGCAATGATCCGGCCTAGCGGGTGGAGAAGGCCTCCTGCTGGGGTCAGATATCTCGAACTGGAGGAGTATAATCATACTGCACCTGCAGCCATCACTGCTGCAGTGACTGGATTCATGTGCATTCAGATAAGGAGAGGAGCTTTGTGGGAGGAAGCTCCAAGGTACAGAGAAAGAAGGAAGGACCGAGTCAGACAGAGTTTAGGGCTGGATGACTTACTTACCTGTTGGACCAAGGACAATCCCATCATTTTCCTTCTTAGCACCTCTGATTCCAGACACTGGAACAAAAGTCTTCATCAGTCAAATGATACCCTAGAAATGTAGCTCACATAATCTACAATAACCTCAAAACTCATCTTGTCCAATGTTCCTTTGAAGGCAGAAGAAACTAGGACCCAGAAAGGTTAAGAGATATGCCTAAATCCTGCCTCAGGCTAGCTGCTCAGGGAAAACTGAAACACAGCTGTCACCACTCTCCTTCCCTGTTACTTTCTCCTGCTTTTTACTTCATTTCATGCCTTTTTATTGGGTAAGAACACTTTTTGTAAGATCTATGAACAACATGGTGCTCCTAACTACAGGTGTCATGCTGTACAGCACATCTCTAGAATTATCCATCTTGCAAAACTGAACACGTACCTATTGAACAACAAATTCTCCATTTCCTCCCCTATGCACCCTGGTGAACACCTTTCCACTCTGTACCTTAAGCCACTTAGACACCTCACATATTTGACTGAGATTATGTAGTACTTGGCCTGCAGTGCTGAGCTTTTTGCACTTAGCATGACGTCCTCCATGTTGTTGCAAAAGGTAGAATTTTCTTCTTTCTAAGCTGAATCTTATTCCAGTGTGTATGTGTGTGTGTGTGTGTAAATATATATTGTATTTTCTTTATCTGCTCATCTACTGACAGACAGTTGGTCTGTCCCCTCCATTTTTCTTTTTTTTAATTTATTTATTTATTTATTTTTTAATTTTAAGGATAAAAGGAGGGAAACATTAACAGACATACAACATTTTACAACATATCACAAGCACAATATAGACAATACAGAGTTACAAACAAAGTGGTAGGGAATTAACAATGGTGGTTGTATTACATATTGATATCTTCAGAGTGGCTTCTCATGAAAACAGATATAGACATGCAATACTGGTCAACCAAAGACTCATTGACAGTTTCTTTCAGCATAGAAACAGCAGATAGAAGAACAACCATGTTATCTATCCTGTATATACATACATACAAAATTTTTCCTTCTTTCCCTTCTCTTTTCCCACATCCCAGAAGCCCTTTACTCTTCATTGGTTTCCTATCATTTCACAGTGTCTATCATACCTCCGAGTTTAAATTAACTCTTTCAAGTTTTACACTAGTGACACAATGCGGTGCTTGCACATGTATGTTTGATTTATTTCACTTATGAGTATGGTCTCTAGTTGTGACCATTTAAATATAAAGGCCTCGAGTTTATCTTTCTTTACAGCTGAGTAATATTCCATTATATAAAAGTACCATAATTTTCTTATCCAATCCTCGGTGGATGGACATTTGGGTTGCTTCCACATTTTAGCAATTACAAATTGTGCTGCTATGAACATAGGTGCACATATATCACTGTGATATGATGTTTTTAGATCTTCTGGGAAAATACCCAGCAGGGGGATAGCTGGGTTGAATGGGACCTCTAAACCTAGTTTTCGGAGGAATCTCCAAACTGATTTCCACAGTGGTTTCACCAGTCTGCATTCCCACCAGCAGTGGAGAAGGGTTCCTATTTCTCCACAGCCTCGCCAGCATTTGTTATTGGTTGATTTCTTAATGCTAGCCATTCTTACTGGGGTAAGGTGGAATCTTAGTGTTGTTTTAATTTGCATTTCTCGAATGACTAATGATGTTGAACATTTTCTCATATATTTATTTGCCGTTTGTATCTCCTTGTCTGAGAAATGTGTGTTCATCTCAGCTGCCTATTTTTGGATTGGGTCTTTGAATTTGGAGGGGCTGAAATTTTTGTCCCCTCCATTTTTCAAGCACCCTGTTAAAACTGGAGCCACGTCAACTGTTGCCTACTGTTATGGTTTGTGTCTGGGTGTCCCCCCAGAGCCTCATGCAGTCATAGGGCAGGCTTTTAGAGTTTGATGGACTATGGGTGTGAGAGCTGCACCTGCCCTGGGGTAGATAGTTTGCATATGTAAGGGAGAGCAAGAGACTGCTTGCAGCTATTCCTGGCTTTTGTGCTTGTTGCTTTTGCTGTGTTCAGATGCCAGGAGCTGTAGCCCTCTGCCATATGCGCCTCTGCCTTGTAATCTGCCAAGTATGGACTAAAACCTCCAGAAACTGTAAGTGAAATAAACCTTTCCTTCCTTAATTTTTGGCATCAGATATTTTGTCCCAGCAATGAGAGAAAAGTAACCAAGACACCTACTTAATGCCACTTGACATTTTACAAGTTATCAAGGTTCTTGGTTAAATGTTAGAGATTCTGGGATTATAGGTATGTGGGAGCTATGACTCCCCTAACCCACAATAAGGCTGCTGGAGGCAGATGTGTTGTGTTACAACAAGAGGTAGTCTGGGACAGATATGAATTATGAAACTGGCCCAAATCTGTCCAACAACATGTTCTGTAGCTTGGAAGAGCTCAGCTATGCCCTGGCACTGTGAGTGGCACTGTACCTTTCTGTCCTGTAGCAGCAGCTCTGAGATCTGAGGGAGGTATCATCGGCCTTGCTGGCTACTTGTCCAGGCAGCAGAGTCCTGCCTACAGGTGATATTCAGGCTGACTTATATTCCAGACCTCCAGCTGCAGGGTGCTGGGCTTGTGGGATTCTTATACTTTCTGGCTACAGTGGTGGACACAGGCCAGTCTTTCTGAACAAGCATCATTCTTGACCAGCTTCCTTTTATGAAAGAAAAACTATTTCCACCATCTCCTCTTTTAAATTACAAATCCTTGGGTGGACTTGGTAACAATTTTTGAAGTGCAAACTAAACATCTCTTAAATACATACTTCTCAATAAGACATTATAGAGAAACATTTTTCAAATAAATTGCTGGTCAGATTATATAAATTCATTGTTCTATTTATGGATAAAAAGACCCTTAAAATAGAAGGTACCTGACCTTCTTCATACTTCTCCATGGTTAGTATTTAATCACCTTTTATTTTTTATCATTACTAGTTTAGGAATTGCCCCATTTGAAGGGAAGAAAATTGGAATCTCACACATGATAATGAGTTATGGGAAATTATCCTACTTACAAATACTGGCACAACTGGTGTCCTCAGGAAAAGGGAAATGGTTGACTGAGGTGGGCCATGTTTATTTTATATGCTCTTATACGTTTTGCTACTTGAATAATGTGAATGTTTCAGCTAATTAAAATTAAAATTTAGAAAATAAAGATCAACTTCCACCCCTCCCTAAAAAGAAGCATATCAAAAAATTATCCTGCTTATCAAAAAATAAAAGAGCAAAATATTAGTACGGTGCCTGACTCTGTCCTTTCTGTTACAAGATGTTTACTATCTCACAACACAGCTGATTTCATACCGTCAAAAAAGAAACAAAGAAAGGTGAAATTGTCATAAAAGTCATGATGGTAAATAACAATTTTTCCCATTGTAATATCTTCTATCACTAATAGATCATCACAGTCTAAACGGATTTAATAAGATCCTGAGAAGTCAAGCATTCAATGAACTAGAGTGTTAGACAGAGGCTCCATTTATGGAAAGAAATGCTAAGGCTCAGACAAGTCAAGGAATTTGCCCAAAAACAGAGTGAGCTATGGGAGCTCACTGCTCATTTACCTGTTATTCCAGTAGATAGGAAGTTCACTCCCTTTTCTTTCTTAGCTTCTCCTTTAATGGCAGACACTAAAGTAAAATAGGTTTCATCAGAGAAGTGATAACCCAAACATAAAATCAGAGAGTATTTAATCCAAATTACCTTTTATAGATGAGAAAATTATGATCTGCAATTCTGATATGATTTGTTTAAAATTGCTCTTTAGCTTGCTGACTCATTCAATATTAGTCATTTAGTACTTACTGAAGAACTATAGTAACACCAGTGATTGATAGTGTTACTGAGTGCCAGAATCTGCTGGGTGTTGTGTGTTGAGGGGGCAGACATAAAACAGTGAATGGAAGGATAAAATATAGAAAATGTTGTTTTCTATATTGTTGAATACTTGTTTAACAAGTATGGGGACTGTGAGGGTGGCAACATGGAGCCTGATCTCATCTGAGCAATCTGAAGCCTTCTCTGGAAGGGGCTGCTGAACTGTAATTGGAAGAATGAATAATATTTGAGTAGCATTTAACTAGCTGAGGGGTATTTGATGTATAGTACCAGCATGTGCCCAAGGCCTGCCATTTGTATTACCTTAATGAACTGGCAGAAGGCCAGATAAGAAAGGTAGGACTGGACATTTGTAGGAGCTCATGAAGGAAAGGAAAGCAGGGTCATGTGGAGAGGTAAAGTACTCAGGAGCTTATCCCAAAAGAAGTGCATAGTGACTGAGTAACTCTGGGGGAGAGGAATGTGTGGAGAATCCAATGAAACAACGTAATGAGAAAAGGTCACCAAGACTGGTGGTGAGTGGATTGTGAGTAAGAACAGAAGACACAGAGAACTGTTTAGGAACTCCCTCAGTGGTCCAGAAAGGAGAGGATGGTGGTTTGAGCAAGTGTGGCAACAGTGGAAGTGCAGAGAATTCTGTGGCATGGTTGAAACTCTACCACAAAGTCAAGAGATGAACCAGACACTGAATTCATGATTGCTATTTTGATCAAACTCATTTCAGATTCTGGGTTGAAAGGCTGGCTAGTGAGATTCTTAGGAAACAATGAATATCTGACCTTATAGATGTGGATGAGATACTTATGGAACTGACCAGACCCACCTGTGTTGCAGAGGGACAGGACACATGCCAGGGCCATGCACAGCCTCCCTGGAGGACGGTGCAGCAGGAAGCTTGGCATGTTGAGATGCTCCTGCTACCTGGAAGCAAATAGGCAAGCAACTGAAAGAAATAGGCTTGATTATTAAGCATACTGATAAAGAATATCCTTTGAGAACACTACACAGGAAATCATTAACTTATGAGGTGTGATAAAAATACAGTGAATATTTATTTTTTTTAAATATTACAGTAGAAGATGCATTGCCATTAACTCCTTCCACTCATCCCCCTCACTTTGAGCACAATTGTCCCCTCATTCTTGCCACTTTCTGAAGCATTTCTGGAATTCCCCTTTCATGAGTGTCTTTAGTTGCACTGTCCTTGCTGCTTTGATGTCCTGAACTGATTCAAAACATTCATCTTTCATGATTATTTTGACTTTGGAGAAGAGCCAGAAGTCACATGGTGCTGGATCCAGTGAATAAGATAGACAGAGCAGACTATAATGTTTGCACAGGGCTGTCTTTCACTTTAATGGAATTCGACAGCAGCATTTTGATCATACCTCATGTAAACATAAGTGAGGATTTCCAACACTGCTTCAGAGAGTGGCAAGAATTATGGGATAAGAGTATTGGAAGTGATGGGAAGGGAAGTATTCTGAAGGTGATAAGTGGCAATATATCTATTGCTGTAAACAAGTTTTAAAAAAATTTTATGTATTCACTATACATTTTGATCACCTTTTGTATAATGTGAAACTAATTTGATTAGTACAATCTGTATTAATTAAAACAGATTAAGTTATGTTGAGTTTATAGATTAACTTCATACCCCATTGGCTTACTGCAACAACAAAGTTTTTTCTTGCTTATAGTCTGTATTGACTGTAAACTCTGCTCCACACAGTCACTGGGGAGTTGTACCATCTCCACCGTGGACCTGAAGCATCTGGTATATCTCCATCTAGTAGCCCAATAGCTGTGTGAACTATTAGCATGAGTCATTGGGGCAGTGGAAAGGAGAGAGGTGGAGTATTATGAGCCCACTCTTCAGTGCTTTGGTGGGGAGTGACATGTTCACTCTTAGAGCCTATGCAGGAATGACGTCCTGCTCCTGTGTGACTGGATGGAGCATGGGAACCTGGGAAAGGATTGCATGCTTGTGCTAGGAACATTAATGTCTCTTCCTAAGGTTTTCTCACTGGATGGACAATATCCTCCAAAAACAGAATCACAGCACTCACGGAGGAAAATGCTTAACATGAGAATATAGGTGAGTGTTTGAAAGCTTTTCTATCTCTGCAGCTCTACATGCCAGCAATTCTCCTGGGCATTTGCTATGCAGAATCAGCACAGCAGTCAATGAGACTAATGAGAATAATGGTGCTTTCAAACACAGATGAGATGAAACACAGAATGCTGTCCAGTGTGAATTATCATTTGACAGCTGTGTAGTCTCTCCATGCAGGTGTTTGTGTAATACCCATTTAACACACTGGGAGTCCAGACTGATTGGAAAGCACAGAAATTTACTTTTGGTAGAATACAAAATAAATCTTGAAAGCTACTTGGGAGGGGAAGAAAAATAAAGAGAATATACACTGGGCCTTGTGAAAAATATTTCAGGAATTTTGCATCTGCATGGAAAATTGCATTTGGAGGAGTTCTGCTCCATTCGGAATGGAGACCCTCTGCAGGGTTTTCTTGAGATATCTCATCAAACACTTTAATAAATTTTTAGTGATTGGTGTGTTCTAAACACCACTGGTGTTTGTTCTAAATGCCACCCTACACAAAGATAGGCCTTACAAAGAAGCAAGAAGAAAGGTTTTCTTCTTCTTATGAATCCATGTACTCTCTGATATAGTCTTTTTTTTTTTTCTGGTACTGGGGATCAAACTCAGGACCTCGTGCTTGCCAAGCAGGTGCTTGTGCCACTGAGCCATATCCCCAACTTTTCATTATCTATGAAGTAGTGATAAGACAATTTAACTCACAAGGTCTTAGTGAAGATTTAAGATAACTATTTCACAATACTTAACCCTGTGTCTGGCACATTATAACTCTCAGTTCTCACGCCAGGCATCCTAATCAGTTTTGTAAACCCTAACAGACTACCACTGGCTGGATAATTTATGAAGAACATATATTTATTTCTCAGATTTAGGGAGCCTGGATATTCTAAAATCAAAGTGCTGGCATCTGGTGTGAGTCTTCTTACTGCATACTCACAAGGCAGAAGGCCCAAGGCAGCAGAGCCAGACCCACTCCCAGAAGGTCTGTTTATAGAGGCTTTAACCTGGTCACTGTAGCAGGGCCCACACGATCTGCATTCCTCCCCAAAGCTCTCCCCAGTGTCCTGCAGTGATGCTACCACATTGGGATTGAGTTTCCAACAAGTCAGGTTGGCGACACAGGAATGGATTCATCACTTACTTTCTTTTTCAATAATTTGAAAGAGAGAGATGCATGGCCAACTCACCCTTATGGAAGAGTGGGGAGACAGAGAGAGAAAAAGAGCTAGAGACGTGTCTGGGGGGTCCAGGACTTGGATGTAGATGGACAAGAAGGGCTACCTTGGAGCTGTTTTCTGAAGCTCAAATAAGAGCATGAAGTAGGACCATGCAGTCTCTAAAATAGAATACATGCTCAGGAAACTTAATTCCTTTCTTGTTCTCTTATCATTTTCTCTCTTTTTTCCTCCTCTCTCCTTCCTCTTCTGTGTCCATTCCAGGACTCAGCTTTATAGCAGAAGCCCATGGCAAGAACGAATATAAATTATAGTAGGAAACATATTTATCTCTGTTTTTACAATGAATACAAATTCCTGTTTTGATGCCTGCTTCCTTACATTAAACACACTCTGAAATATTATCCTGAGACTACTATTTCTATTGATTTTGTTTGTATGTGTCTGGGATAAGTTTGGCAGACTTAGCAAATATAAACAAAAGGCACCCAGTTCAATGCTAACTTGAGATAGACAATGAACAATACTTTAATATATGTCATTTGAAACAGCTCTCACCTGGACAGACAGGGAATTTTATTGAAGAATTTCACAGCTTATACAAGCAGACTGGCTGTTCTTGGCCTCATGACAGAGCTGAAGAGTTCTTGTCTCCCTTGCTTCCCCCTCTTACAAGCCTGGAGCACTGTGAGCCAGTCTGGGGCAGGGGAGTAGCTAGACTTGACATGGATCTTGTGTTGGCAACTGTGATCTGGGTCTAAATTAACCTTAATTCACTCAAAAACTAATAATTTTGCACGTACAGCACAGTTGGACCTATGGCATAGTTATTCTCCCATCCAAGTACTAACCAGGTCCGACCCTGCTTAGCTTCCAAGATCAGATGAGATCAAACACATTCAGGGTGGTATGGCGTAGATTATGGCATAGTTGTTGCAGGAATCATCTCTGGGTTTTCTTAGTGGCTCTGGCACTAGCTAACTAGCTAAGTTATTAAAACTCTGTGCTTTGGTGTCTTCATTTAGGCTGTCATAAGGACTAAAGCATGTTGTATGTGTAAAATGCAGTGGCCAGTGTCTGACACAGAGCAAGAGTGATGTGACTATTTAACAAATAAATAGAAGTGATGGTACTTAATAAAAGATGATATTCTAGTAGGCAAACCAGATAATGTTGTCCATCTGATGGAATCACACTCCTCAAAGTTATATTCTACAAAGACTGGAACAGCTGTCCAAAAATATCCCTAAAACTGAGTTATTATTTCATTGCATCCTCATGGCTATTACTGTTATTTATAAAACACTGCAAAATATTGTTTCTCTAAAGGTACTTGCGGAGAAGCATGTCATGTGACACTGTGATAAGAGTAGTACACAGAGGAATCAGAATAAGCCAGCTCAAAACCCGATACTTTGGAACATGGATTGTTTTGAGCTGAAGGCCACAGATGCAGAAAGAAGCATCTTGAGGTTCCCCTGCATGCACAGATTTCTAGTGAATGAAGACTGTCGTTAATCCCTTCTCCCAGGGGAGTTTCATAGCCTTGAAGAAGACAGAAAGTTGGCACTAAGCTGGGCCCAAACAAGCCAATCTGCATAAAATAATCCTTATCTTCTGTTCGCTTCCCCATGTGCTCACCTTCCCACAGTGTTCTACGTGCAGAGGCTCAGAACATTTTCCCACAAATTTACTGACCTTTAGTTAAAAGGGTATATAAGCCTCTGGATCTGATGCCCTCTTCAGGATTTTCATTTCATTTCTGTGACGTTTCCCACAAGTGTATAAAATATACCTTTTCCTCCTGTTAATCTATCTTTTGTCAGTTCAATTTGCAGGGCCCCATGGAGTAATCCTAAGAGGAGAGGGGAAATAGGTATTTTTTCCCCTTCCTCAAGAGTACAGTGTGTTGAACCTCCCACTCTGGGGCATGGTGTCTATTATTTTACCTGCACCAACTTCCAGTTAGACAGAGACATGCGTAAATCCTGCTACACAGAGAATGTCCTGAGGATCAGCAATGAAGGGTTAGCCTATGGCCACATGGCTCCAAAGTGGAGAACTGGGATTTGAACTGTGGTCTCCCAGATACTAAAATAAAGTCTGTATCCTCTTTTACCTTATTCTGTTCTACAAAATATCACTTGAAGTGTCACTGAAGGACAAGATGTTGAAAAAAAAGGGTTATTACAAAGCATTTCAAAGGGCAGAATGGGTTAGAACTCCAATGGCACTCCCAGGAGAAGAGCTGAGAAGGGCAGTTGTGACTGATGAGACAAGAGTCTGCCCAGGAGCCTTGTGATACTAATTCACAACATGTTGTGTTTTATCAGCACCAGCTTTGGAACTGGGAACAAGAACAGTTGGGACTAAACCTGTGGAGTCTTGATTAAACTTTGTGTTAATTCCAATTAACAAAGATCATAGATCAGCTGACAGTTTAACCTGAGAAGTAAACCTGGCTTTCACACTGCACTTTGCAGCCGACAGACGCCCATCAGATGCAGAATATGCAGTGGGGAGGACAAACTCACACCTGGTTCCCGCAGCCCTGGTGAGTGCTGGATTTTCTCCACAGCTTACCCTGCTCCGTTCACTCCGCAACCT